ATTCTGCTTTTAACATATTATAAACACGATTTACTCGATTTCCTACGGTTAACCTATCCCTTCTGGGATTTTCTAACCATTTTTCTTATATCTTAGTTCCTACACTTCCTGATAATTTCTGAAGATACCTATCGAGTAATGTTCTGTCTCTTGTTTTACCAGTGGCCGCGAAATACTCGAAAAACTTATTAGTATAATCTCTTATATATCGAAAATCACAAATCTGTAGTAATTCTAGATTACGTAAAGCTTCGTTTTGCTTTAGTAAAGTTTCATCTAATAATTTATCTTCGCCAACTAACACCTTTTTTATTAGGCTAGTAAAACCTTGAATTGTAAAATTATCACGTAAGAAGGCATAATCATTGGGATAAGTTACTTTATACGATTGCCACCAATTATGGATTGTTCCCCTTAATAAAATATCACAATAAGTTAGGGCTTAAGTTTTTTTTTTTTTTTTATCAAAATTGATTAAAATAGATTGCCTAATACAGTCTTATTCCCAATTTTTAATTACTTTTGCCCAATCTTGGGGATCGTGTCGTAATATGTCTAATATTATTCGTGCTTGTTGTGCTGGTATATTATCGTAACGCCTACGATTTTGTGTCCATGTGTACATATTTGGTATATTTCTATTTTCGACATAGGTTTCTTGTGTGAGATTTAACCGTTGTCCAGTGGTATAGTCATCATTTATGGTATTAGTACGACATGTGGCGTTAGGCATTTCTTGTTCAACTGGCTGCGAAGCTGATCCTTCTGGTTCTTTTCCTTCTCTAGGTTCTACTACATTCAATTCTTCTTTTAATGCATTTAACTCATATGTTGTATAAAAGGATTCAAGTCCTACATTTATAAATACTTTCTATAAGTTGGTATTTAGGTTCTGGATACTTATCTTGTAATTCTTTAACTTCTAAATTATCAAAATCGTATATTATTTTATCTAGAATTTCATCTTCTAATCTATCATAAATGACATTTATTTCTTCAGTAGATTCTATTTCTTCTAAAGTAGTTAAGAATTCTTCTTCGATATCATCTGTTAAATTATCTTGTCTTTTATAATTACTAAACCTTATACTAGCTTCTCCACTATGTTTTACATATATCATATTGTTTTCGGGAATCTTTTTGGTTGTTTTAGTAAGATTTGGTAATTCTCACTATGTTCCTTCATGAGTTATACTGTTTACTTTTCAAGCCTCTATCATCTGGACATATTTGCTACTAAAAGGTTTAACTATTTCACTGAATTGAGTTTTGAACTTTAAATTGTATTGATTAACTGTTTTTCCTATGAATAAAGTATTAATTAATAAGTTTTCATACTGTCTTGTCATATTATATTCTTTTGTGGATATGGCTATTTTTATATGTTTATTAAATTCTCTAGTGGTTATCGTGAAATTAGGAATACATCCTACAAGGGCTACATTGGCTACTAGATCGATTTCAGCGCTAGCTATCTGTGCTTATTGATGGTTATTCCATCATTCATCATAAATATATGTGAGTGTTCTGGTTCCTACTTCTGATCTATTTAATCTTACTATTTTGATCATTATCACGCCTAAATGCATAAGTTCTAATTTTTTTTTTCCCAGCTCTTGACAAGCCTCTGGTGTTATGAGATCTAAAATTACCTGGTTGTTTACTACACTTATATTTCTCTGACTAAGATGATTGTATATCTTGCTCTGGAAATTTAATAAATTATTAGAATAAAGATAAACTTTATTAGATACTTTCTTCATTTCTTTTTCGATATAATTTTGAGCATCGTGTTCATTATCATATAAATCTTCTACCCTCATTATTTCTTTGGTTTTTCTAAGGACAATGGTCATTCTCTATGTGGTTGTAAAAGATTTACACGCTTGGTGGTTTTAGTCGGGAAGGGATTATTTGATAACTTTAAATCTTTTATTTTATCTGATAGTTCAGATAATTCTTTAGAAGATTCTCTAGGAATATTTTCCTGTATTACTTCTAATTTTTCTTCAAGTTTGTTAACCTTTTCAGATAACTGGAGTAATAACTGGATTAAAACGTTATTTTGTTTAATATTTATATTAGTTGATTGCACGTCTGTCTTAAAACTTGTAAGTCCTATAGGGTCTTTGTCAATTTTATAAAGTTCGGCTAAAGCTGCTAGATAATCAGGACTACTAGTGCTCATAAAACTATTGTAATAATCTTTCGATATCTGTTTTCAAAGATTTTAAATATTCTATAATTATTTTTTGATTTTCTATAATATTTTTAATATCACTGTTTATGTCTTTAATAACTACTAATATTTTTAATATCAGAGTTATCTAGGTTATTAAATTCTATTCTATTCATAAACCTAAAATCTCTGCCGTTTAGCTTCTAGAATATTCTGTAGTGAATAATTCTAGATCTAAGTTCTTCTATTCTTCGTTAAAGGCTATGTGTTGTATTACATAACTCTAATGAAGTGTAACAGTTTCTAAGTGCTATTTGAAGATATTATAGAATTCCTAAAAGTTATTCTTTGGTTAAATTGTGCATAAAATAAACTTATAAACTTTTAAGGGTGAAAATATAATTTTAGCTTATAAAAGGATTCAAAATGAAAGTCTTCACTTTTCGTTCATGATATAGTAAATATGCAAACTACAACAATGATTTAGTAATATAGTTTTGTTACCCCCACTTATATGTAAAAATCCCTATAATTTATATTTCAATCATTTGTATTTAGAAATTTTCAAATTCTTTTATTACGACTCCCCGTTAGCCGGCATGAGTACACGTGAGAGTACTCCCACAGTATTGTATATTTTCTCTAACACCACACAAAACCCCAATAAATCCTTTAGTGCAGCGAGGTAGGATGAGGTAAAAGCCTCACGATGACCGCATGTAGTACTCTTCAGAGCTACTAGCAAAAGATAAATTAGATACTAAAGGTAAGATTGGTTGGTAAGTGTGTATAGTATATATATATATATATAGACACAAAAAGGCAATTGATGTTGCCAAGGCAAGCATACAGTAGTAGTAGATATGCATTAGAGTAAGTACAAAAAACATCCCTGAAATATGTTTAGAGTGCATATCACACTCCTCTCATATAAAAAATACCCCTTAAGTTTCAATTTGGTAGAATCAAGTCTCTCGGGCACATTTAAAACCAAACTTGACTAAAGTACCCTTAGTCAACATTTTTATAAAATATATAAAAATACAAAATTTTGTAAAAAGACCAAAAAGGATATTAAACAATGACTTGTTTTGCACACCTATTCTGCGATTATGAGAACGACGGTGAGGACAGCGGGCGATGAGATGGCAAAGGAAAGAGTGGCGACCAATGATATGAAATTGGTGGTGTTAAGCGGTAGTATAGAAGGCGGAGGGCAAACCGAAAAGCAAATTAATGCTTTTCTATTGAATTCCATGAATGAATTACCTTGTTCTTCTTCGATTAAATTAACGCTTGGCGCAAACCGAAAAGCAATTGCTGTGAATTAATGAAATTAGGATTTGACATTTAAAAATTAAATTTTATAGCCCCAAATTGTTAAAAGGGAGGTTAGTGCAAATTTTTTGAAAACTTTTACTAGTGTGTAATTAGTTAAAATTTTGAGGTAAGATATATATCTTTTAACTTTATTTTTCAATTTATGACAAAAGTTGAGGTTATGGATGAAATGTAAAATAACATGTCAAAAATTGATAGATAAGAGCATCTCCAATGCTCTTTCATTTTGAGCTCTCAAACTCATAATTGGAGAGATGGGGAAAAAAAGCTACTCCAATGGCCTTTCATTTGGCCTCTCAAAATTTGAAAATCTCAAAATTTCTCTCAAATGTAAAAACTGCCAAATTTTTTTGGCAGCTCTCTAACACCAACCACACACACACACACACACATATATAATTTCAACCCAAATTCGTCTATATATACATATATTTAAAAAAGACCATAAAAAATTTCACCAAATAGGATTTAGTTTGCAAAACAAGAATTACAGACCTTGATTAGTTGATTTAGAAAAAAAATTAAAACAAAACCCATACATACAACTTAGCAGTTGCAAAGAGAGAGAGGTGAAGCTTGAGAGTTGAGAGAGCGGTAAAAGCTTGCGAACGGCGAACCGAACTGGAACAGCAGACGATGTAAACTGAAAGATATGGGTTTTTGAACAATCTGAAATGATATGCCGATATTGGTTTTGATCTTTTGATTCTTGTAGACAGATAGATAAACTGAAATATATGGGTTTTCAACTTCTGATTCTCATAAATTTTCTAATTTACAGTTGGAGAGAGAGAGATAAAGAGAGATGGGGAGTTCAGAGTTGAGAACGAGAATAGAGATAGAGGCGATTGGGTAGGCTGAAATGATTTGCCCTAAAAATATATATATTTTTAATAATACTATACTAAAATATATATAATATACATATATATATAATATATATGAATTTTCGAAAAAGAAAATATATATATATATATATATATATATATATATATATATATATATTGGTCCTTTTTTGACCAGATATTTTAGATTTTTGTTTATTTTTAATTAGCTTTAATTTTAGTTTCCTTGTAATGTTTGCAATTTGACTTGGAATGTGCTAAATATTAATATTACTCGTGCAAATATGAATTGTGGGAATAGTAATTAAAAAAGAACGGTGGTTGTGTCAAAAAATAGCATTTTGCATGAAATGCACCATTGGAGCAGAATTACTAAAATGTAGCATTTTGACACTATAGCACCTGTTAAAATATAGATTTGGCAGCGGAAAATAACTTTTAGCATTGGAGATGCTCTAAGTAATTTTTGTTAGGTTTTAATTTTTTTTTTTCTTTTTTTTTTTTTTGTAAATATTTTACAATAACAAAATATCAAAAAAATTAAAATATATATTTTTAAAAAATATTTTACCCAAAAATAAAAAATAAAAACTTTGAATATCCATGTTAATTTTCCAACTCTTTTTTACAGTCCCTTAATCTACTAGTGTATGATATTTACTTTCCCTTTTATTTATTTAGTTTTTTATTTTACAATAAAAGCAGTATCACAATTTACAACCAAGCTACCACTCTCTCTCTTAACTTTTCGTCTCTCAAAATCTCAAAACCCTAACAAGCGATGATGACAAGAGGGAAGAAGAGAAATTATCAATCCATTGAAGCGCCGATGTCTAACATTCCCGACGATTTGATCCCCGACGTTCTCTGCCGACTTCCAGTGAAGTCTCTGCTTAGGTTCAGGTGCGTTTCGAAACAATGGCGTGCCCTAATCGACTCCCCTAACTTTATCAATTTGCATCTCAATCAATCACTCAGAACCAACACTAACTGGAGTCTGATTTCTAGACGCTATTCGTTCCAGAACCTCTATTGCATAGGGTACCAATCTCTTGATGATATCCTGAAACATGGTTACCATAATGTTCTACCAGTAAAGCACGAGTACCCTTTTCTGAGATTACCTCACCACTTTAATATAGTAGGTTATTGCAATGGCTTGATGTGTTTGCTTTCTTCTACTTTGAGTAGTATTAAAGCACCCATTTTGTTAAACCCTTCCACCAAGAAACACCAAATTTTACCACCTGAGCCACAAATTTGGAGTTCGTACCCAGTTTATGGATTTGGGTATGATGCTGTAACTGACGACTACAAGATTGTAAGAGTCTCCAGATTTGTTGGGGAGGGTTTTGGCCCTGAAGTAGTAGTTTTTAGTTCGAGATTGAATAAATGGAGAATGAGTCCACATTGTGTTCCTCATTTCCTTAGACATAACTTTTCTGGTGTGTTTTTTAATGGTGCTTTGCATTGGGTAGCTACTCGCCAGCACGAGTCACCTTTGGATAATTATAGTATTTATATTGTTGCTTTTGATCTTGTGGTTGAGAACTTCCGAGAGGTGAAACTCCCAAACCACTCGGATTATGAGACTGTGACTTTGGGGGTTTCGGGTGGATGCTTGTGGGCAGGTTGGATTGATGATGATAACCATGTTCAATTATGGGTTATGAAGGATTACATGGTACAAGAGTCTTGGACCAAACGTTCATTATCTTTCTCTTCACAAGTATGTAAGATTCTTCATAGGTGCCGAGTGAGAATTTTAGCTTATTCAAGTAGCAGCAGCGAAGTACTCGTAATGGAAATTAATAACCAACTCCATTGGTTAGATTTGAAACAACATAAAGTTGTGCATCTTGACATCCCTGCATATGAAAAAGAGCTTTTTATCGCTAGCCTTGTGAAGCTTCCCTGTGATCGAGGAAATGTCATTCTGTAATTTTTCTTCCACAAGTTTGTTGCATTTTGGCAAAGAATTTGGTATTCTCCTTTATTTTTGGTTTAGAAGAAAGTTTGAAATTAATATTTGAAAGATACTATTATCAGGTGGGTAATTCTGATTTCATAATCAAATTTTCAGTTTTGTAGTGCAAGATTTGTTAATGTTAAACTGATTGTTCTCTTTTAGTCAAATTTTCAGTTTTCTAGTGCAAAATCTGTTAATGGTGAGCACCCCTATAATTTATCAATTTATACTAATTGTTCTCTCTCAAAGGTGGAATGTTAATTTGTTGTACTAAACATATGAAGTTTGTATAGTTCTAATCGTCGCCTCTCAGTCCCCAATAATTTTGATATTCATATGCACACACTCACACACATATAGATAATGTGTTACCAGTTACTCCATAGTGCAACTAATTCCTTATTTTATTAAGCATGAGAACAAGTGTTTAAATATGGGAGCAATCACCTGTGGTATAATATAGTTTGTTTCAAGTAGGTAATTGTGATTTCATAATAAGAGGTTTCTAGTGCATCCTTTGTTGTTGGTGAGCCTGAATTTTTGTTTTCTCCACTGTGGAATGTTAATGTTCCGTAGTAAATATAGGAAGTGTTTTTACTTTATAGTTCTAATTTTCTCCGCTTTGTTATGGGCGAGCAAGGGTACAATACTCTTAATGATGATTACAAGATTGTAAAAGTTACTAAGTCTTCTAAGAAACATTAACACAGTCCACTTTGAACTAATTGTTTACAGGTTGAGATCCAATTTGTGGAGAAGGGTTCATGATAATTTCTCTCATCGCCTTAGATATGAGTATATGACTCTGTTGTGCTTGTTCGTGGTGCTTTGCATTGGGTAGCTTGTCGCAGCCTGGGTTACCTATGGACGAATTTATTGCTTCTTTTGATCTTGTGGCTAACAACCTTTGGGTGGTGCAATCCAGTCTTTTGGGATTATTGGTTCGTGTTTTGGATGGATGCCTGTGCTTGGTATGTATTGTTAATTAGCAATTTTGTCCATTTTGTCTCAACAATCTAGCAAGTGTTTGTGTTAAATGTTCTTATTGTAAGTAGTTGCGAAAATGAACTTTCGTCCCATCTCAGCACTCCTTTGAACAACCTCTCTCTCTCTCTCTCTCTTTTTTTTTTTTTTTCGTTAGCAAGAAACACACACACACCCACTTTGCCCTTTTGGGGACTGAAATCCTGGACCTTCTACTTTGGCAGGCGGGGAAGTACCATTGGGCTATAATGCCTTCTGTGTAAAGACCAAAATTGGTTGGTCAGAAACTATAGTTTGAGACCTACAAAATCTGGTTCAGCCCGACTACCATATGGGGTAAAGAGGGGTCATGAATTGTGCATAACATGATAACTTTCTTGAAGAACTGAAACCCTCGACACACTGGGTAAGTCACATGAGTAAAACTGTAACTCTTACACGCCAAACTCAGTTAAAAGGTTCCTGAGGGATGTTTGGAACGCTGCAATGGCAACACCTATTTAAGCCTACACCGTGAACATGATTTTTAAGTCCTCTGTTTTCGATTAGCCACCAATGGATTTTTCCTTTTTAGGCATTCACCCTATACATGATTTTTAAGTCCTCTGTTTTCGATTAGCCACCAATGGATATTTTCTTTTACGCATTCACCCTATACATGATTTTTAAGTCCTCTGTTTTCGATTAGCCACCAATGGATATTTTCTTTTACGCATTCACCCTGAAGTCACATGAACATGATTTGTTGTGTAACCTTTGTTGAGTCCTACCAGAGTAGTGTGCAACTTTAAAAGCGTTAAGTACAACTTATTACAGCACCACTTGTTCTGAACTTCTGGCTAGTCCAATGCTCGTTAATTTTGACAGCAGTGTCAGCGTGTGTTATAAACATATAATTCCAAAGGTTTTTGTGTTTGAAACTTATAATTTCTGAATAATATATGCATTAGTTAAGATTATGCTCTCTTGTGCGTTTTTTATTAGTGTGTATTAGTGTATGTGTTTGCTTGAACTTTAGAAGAAGGAAAAAAAAAAAAGAAAAAAAGATACTTGTAATACTCAACTTCCCCTAATAAAAGTTGAACACCCCCACCGGGACTGATAGGACCATATGTAAATAAAGTACGGAATATTCCGGTAATTTATTATGTGGTGCCCAATCAAATAGAGAGCCTTGTTTTTCCTTGAAAACTCTTCGTTCTCATGGTATCAATACAAATTAAGAATTTTTAGGACTCCCCATTGGCGGGCATGAGTACCACATGAAAGTACTCTCACGACCAAATGGCCTAACGATATCACCCTTTTCTTTCCAAAGAGGAGTTGGGGGTTCGAATCCGGTGAAAATAGATATGTGCATAATTACTTTAACTTCAAAAAAAAAAAAAAATCCTCCCACATTATTGTATATTTTCTCCAACACCACACAGAAACCCCAGTAAATCCTTTAGTACAGTGAGGTGGCATGAGGTAAGAAACTCATGATGACTGCATGTAGTGCTCTTCAGAGCTACTAGCTAGCAAAAGATAAATTAGATAATAAAGGTTAGATTGGTTGGTGCACTCTAAGTGTGTATAGTAGATATATATATATATATATATATATATATAGACAAAAAGGCAATTGATGTTGCCAAGGCAAGCATGCAGGCATGCAGCAGTAGTGGATATATATATATATATATATATTATTATTATTATTATATATATATATAAACACAATGTGATGTTTGAGTTATATATATAGGTACAATTAGTGGTGTAATACTGCTTTGCCAAAATGATCTTTTGTTGTGTGTGTTAATGTCTGAAAGCAATTTCAAAGAAACATTAAATGGTAGACCGAGATTGAGATTGACCTCACAGTGCAGTGGCATTCTGAGACTACTGCATTATATGAATAGTAGTAATTATTATATAAGACATGGGAATTAGGGTACTAGCACTAGTGGCTACATTTATTTTGTGTATGAAATTGGGAAATGCAAAGAGAGACAAAAGGAACAGTCATGAAAAAGTTAGAGGTTGTGGGAGAGAACCATTTGGAGCTAAGTTCCTAGGGTTGTGTTTATGTTCTTTCTCTTTCAATTCTCTCTGACATAATGGAGAGAGAGAGGAAGAGAGAGAGAGAGAGAGAGAGAGAGAGGGAGGTTTTTGGAAACGAAGATAGAGCAAGTGTGTGTGTGTGAGAGAGAGAGAGAGAGGGGGAGGGAGGTTTTTGAAAACGAAGATAGAGCAAGTGTGATTTAATGGTCAAAGGTCACACTGCTTGTATTAGTACCAATTAAATGCACCACTGTTTTCCTATTTATCATTTTAATGGAGTCTGATGGTCTTTATACTGTCTAGGGGACCACTGAAATGACATCACAGACCTTCATTAGTTTGTGATTTGGTATAATATTATATTGTAATTATAAGACTAAAATATAGAAATCTTGTGACATTGATAATAAGCACAAAAATTAAAACCAATAATATTTATAGTCATAATTGTTGCTCACAAAAATTAAAACCAATGATATAATGAAGGAATGGGCATAATTGTTGCTCAAATGCTTTTAAATGTCTTAATGCCCAAGAAAAGATATTTTATACATACAGCCTTCAACCAACAAAAAAAGAGAAGAAAAAAAATGTCAAACCTTGAAAACAGAGTATTTAATTCTACAAAAGCAAGAAAAACAAATTCTTATTATCATCCCATCTGTTCCTTCCTTGCTAGAAAGTGACACATCAATCCCATCTTTTATTAAACAGCCAATTATACCCTTATCCTTTATTTCTTGATGAATCCAGAACTTGTATATAAATAGCTACACCACCCTCCTCACTTACCCAAAAAAAAAAAAAAAAAGCTACACCACCCTCCTCATCTATACACACACACACACACAAAGCACCACCATGGCACTGTTACAACAAGCTGTGTCAACGTTATCAGCCATCTTCTCTAGAGCTTGGTTCCTCCTAGTCATAGCTCATATGGTCGACCAAGGTCATGATGATAACATGAGACAACAATTGAGAATCTGAAACAAGATATGGTGATATCTCTCCTGAGCTTATTCTTCTTATGCCTCTCCTTTCTTTCTTTGGACCCCGCCAAGGCCGTTCGAGTTTTCTTGACCTTGCAAGCCCGTTGCCACTCTGTGCACCGTTCAAATGCTTGGATGCAAGATCTTTCGTTAGGGCTGGTGGAAGTTCTTTTTTCTTTTCTATCCCTCCTGAACTTTTTCTTTAACGTACTCTCACCGTTAGGTTTTGTATATCTCATCACCCTTACAGGTTTGTTTCAGAATGAAAAAACACTTTCTTGTTTTTAGTTTTGCTTGAATATATTTGTTCCAAGGATATGTAAGGAATGATATATATATATATATATATATATAAGACCTTTTGTTTTAATGTGTGTGTTTTTCTGTATTTGTAGCATTTATATCTTGTCTGGCATTTCATGGAATTTGGATGTATCATCCTAAAAATCGAAGTCTAAGTTGTGTAACCATAAGTCTGCTGTATGATATCTGACAGGGAAGGGTGAAGATTAAAATTTTCGCATATGTACCCAAAAAAAATGGAAAAAAATTCCTGATTCTCACAGGATAGAAAAATGAAGCATTTTAGCCATGTTACAACTTTCTAGGTACATTTAACTCATGACAATCAAACCATTTAAAATTCATTGAAACTTGACGACAGCTCGATTCTACAATCCATTAATGTCGATTGGTAAGTTTTTATTTTTATTTTAAGGATTTTGTGTGGCTTTCTACTGGCTACACGTACTTTTTTTTAGCCACTAAACACATGTAACCACAATTTTTTAAAACCAATGCGATTTTTAGCGATAGAGAAACAATTCCAATCAGAAACTTAATGGCATTGGCATAAAACGTCCATTATATCACCTTCAAAGGGCAGATGGGCATATTAAGCATGGGCAGATAGAGAAACAATTCCAATCAGAAACTTAATGGCATTGGCATAAAACGTCCATTATATCACCTTCAAAGGGCAGATGGGCATATTAAGCATATATTAAGCATGATAAATAAAATAAAATAAAAACTAATAGTGCGCAACAAGCCGAAAAATATTAGAATATTCGTGTAGTAGCAGTGCATTAATGTGTTTTCACAACTTGTTTATCATTTTTACCAATTTGCCAACGAAAATACAAAAGCAAAATAATAAAAATAAATAAATAAAAGATTACTATAAATAAATACATAAAAGATTACCAAACATGTCCAAAGTGTATAAAATTTCAATAATAAACTTAAAGAATAAAATAATAAAATATGAAGAAGAGAGAAAGAAGGTACTGTATATAAATCTTTAATGAGTGCAAGAAAAAGAATATATGGGAGAATTTGAAGGGAAAAAGTCTTGTTTTGATTGTGGAAATGAAATGCAATATTAAGGGGAAAAAAAGGAAATGCGATTTTTTTTTTTCAAAGAAAATAAAAAGAAATTTGAATAATAAAAAGACTAAGAAAGAAAAGATATTTAGAATTAAAGATTTTAAAATATATATATATATATATATATATATATATATATATATATATATATATATATATATTGAAGTTTAAACAATTTAAAAGTAAGGGATTATATATGGGGGGAAATACTGATGGCCCAATTTGTTTTACAAGTAAAAGCCCATTCCGGCCTTACTGCTCAAACAGTAAAGCCCGCTTCCAAATTAGCCTTCTCAAAAGAGGCCCAGGATAAAGGCCCGATCGAAGTAACTAGCCGTTGGCAAATCCTCTTTTCAATTTTCGACTTGTTTGATAACTAAATAAATAGGTGTGGTACTAGTCCAGTGGTAAGGCGAATATTGTTTGAGGCCTTTGACATGCATTCAAAACACACCAGCATCACTTCCCCTTTGCCTTTAACGTCTATGATCTAACTCCCTAACCCAACCCCACTAACCATATATGGTCAACTCCCTAACCCCACCCCCACTAACCATTGCCAAGTAAAAAATAAATAAAAATTTTCATATTAATGTCCTTTAAAATTTTTATGAGTATACCTAAATCTTAAGAAATTTAGGGAATTTTGTACAATTAAATTTAATGGCGATTAAAACTTTAAAAAATTTCTTAAAATTTGGGGAATTTTGTACAATTAAATTTAATGGCGATTAAAACTTTAAAAAAATTCTTAAAATTTGGGGAATTTTGTACAATTAAATTTAATGGCGATTAAAACTTTAAAGAGACATAAATGGCTGTTAGACCGTGGCATTCCTTATTTGCAAACATTTAATAATTCAAGGGTAATTTTATTAAGAGGTAATATGCAATTATTATTATTATTATTATTTTTTTTTTTTTGAGAAGATTCCACTTGCAACTTTAAAATATATTAGAATTCTTCAATGATATTTGGAGATAAAACCCGGAACTCAAGGGTCAATTGTCTCTCATTTCATTAGCGATTTCTTTTGCTGAAATAATAGTCAATGTAAATTCATTTTCTCAATATTTGTTATAAAAAAAAAATTTTAAAAAAAATAAAAAAAAAACTTTTAAATGATCTATGGCAACATCAATATGCATATCTTGAGATTGTAAATTTTTACTAACTGAATGAACCGTAAATAATGTCATACCAAATAGGCATACCCAATAAAAACTCAAAAATTTCAAATTTTTTCGTTGGTAAACATTTAGCTTCACTTCTTGTCTTAGGATCTTCGCTTACTTTTTCTAATTGAAGTAAAACATTTCTTATTTGTGGAGCTTGAAATCTTATTGCTTTAAGACTTTCAATTTGACTTTCTCAACGGGTTTGTGACAATGACTTAATAGTTAAACCGGATACACTATCTTGTAAAATTTTCCACTGTTTTGTAGAAGAAAAAAACAATGAATATATACGTTATACCACTCCAAAAAAAGTTATAGCTTTAGGACAAGAGTTGGCCATATCACAAAGTAATAGGTTAATATTATGGCAACCACATGGTGTTTAGAATGCTCTAGGATTTATGTCTAGTAGTTTTTTTTGTACACCTTGATTTTTTCCTTTCATGTTAGAATCCATTATCATATCCTTGTCCTCTTATATTATTAATATCAAGCTCAAAGATTTTTTATTGCATTTATAAGTTAATCAAAAAGGCCTTTTCCAGATATGTCAAAAACTATTAGAAATTCTAAAAAATATTGTTGTACTTTTATTGGAGTTGTCGAAATATCCACATATCATAATACAAGAGACATTTGCTCTTGATGACTTGCATCTGGAGTGCAATCAAATGCTAACATATTTATTAATTCATTTTGTATGTTATGTCCAAGATAGTGATTATGAGTCTCACTGTGTTGAATACGTCGTATATGTTCTTATATTACTGGATCAAACTTTGCAATTATTTCAATAAGGCTTATAAAATTCTCATTATTTTCTTGATATATATATATATTTTTCCCACGAAATACCAAATTATTTTTGGCAAGATTTTTCACAATAACAATAATTTTTTGTAAAACTTTTTTACAATGATTTTTCTCTTTATTAATTTGATCTTGGATGCTTTTATCAATTGTCTTATTCTTTAACAACCTTCTAAATCTACCCAAGTGTTCATGTTAGTAATATGTTCATTTGTTGTTTCGTGATTTTTTACCTTAGCACTAATATTTTTCCAATCTCTAATTCCATCATTAGCTAATTGACTTGTGTTATATTTTGAATTAAACAACTTACAACCATCTAAATCTTTTGAATAAACGAGCAATTTTCTATCATGCTTCTCTCCATTTGGTAATTTTCGAACATAATATGAAGCGAAAAAATGCCTAAAGTTTTCATCTTTTGAAAAATTAAAATCATTAAATCTAATTGGACCATTTTCTACTAATAAATCTCTTACTTTTGTATCAATATTTTTCCATTGTCCAGGATCATATATATTTGTGGAAATATAATATGATTTTTGATTACTAATTTCACTTTCTTCCAATTCTTTTTGTTCTTGATTATTATTGTGAATCAGGTCATTGGTACTTTTTTCTATCACTATTGTACAATCTTCTAATTCTTCTAGATGATTTGATTGTTCATTTGCTGAACTTTCGCTTAAATTTTTTGTTAGGTTTTGATTATTAGTTGTAACAAATTTATCTATATCTTTCTTCTGAGATTGAATTAGTTTATATATTCTTCACTTTTTTCTGAAGTTTTTCAAATCCATATTCATATTTTCTAGTAAACAGATTCTACCATAAAATATGGGTAAAAATAGTCATAACTCACAAACAAATATACAAATATATGAAAAATATAGATATATTCAAATTTATAATAACAAAAGTTAGAAAAACTAAAAAATAATTAAAGAAAAAGAACAATATAACCTGATTTAAAAAGTTCCAATTCAATGCTGTTGCAAATTCTTCAATACAAGAAAAGTGCGTTCAAATTGAGACTAATGAATATTGAGTCTAGAAAAAAAGAAAATTGTAAAGTGTAATAAGAGATGACTTGTAACTTGTTGGGTTTGATGAAAATGGGAGAATGAATGTGAGAAATAAAAACTAGAAAAAGAGAATATGGAAAGTTTCTTCACTTCCCCATGCTAACATCTTTTAATATTTGGTGCAACTAATATATATATAAAAAAAAGTGTACAAGATAGAGAAAGAAAAAAAAAAATATTTTTTAAGAATATAAACATTTGGGCTCATATTAAGTGTGTGTATTTGTTAGGGTTTAAGAAGGAGAGAGAATTTGAGAGAAAAAAATAGTTATTTTAGGAGATAAATTTGGTTAAAGTTTAATTAAAAAGCCTGAATGATAATGATGATGAGGAGAGAGAAAACAAATATATATATAGGAGATAAATTCTTTAGAATTAATATTTAACAATGTTAAGAAACAATTAATACAATATAACTTATATTAGAGAACTATAATATTTAGGAGCCATTGGCTTTCTTATTGACTTAGGCCTTAAGCGGCCGCCTAAGGCTCAAGCCGTCCTGCATCATTCAATGTTGAAGGAATGGTACTACTCCATGAAAGCAAGAATACTTGAAAACAGTTCTTTTTTAGTTGAGAGCTGAGAAAATTAAATTCTTTTTGGACAAGAATTTTGATAGTCTAACAAAAAAATTACCATATTGGTCACAACTCTAAAATAGAAGCCTAATAAATTTCTTAATTACAAACAAACAACTTGCTCTACAAGTTTACAGTAATTAGGGAAGCAATTCTCCAAGGAAACAAATTACTGTATTTAGTTTCAAAACTTTTAAAAAAATTTAAATATATATATATATATATAGATATTAAATATGTGAGACTATTGAACTCCCTGATTCAGTTATAACTTTCCATGTGTGCCTGTCAGAACTCCAACTTCAATTAAAAACAGATTCTCTCCTAGCCAATAGACTCTTCGTTCCGTTCGCAGAGGAGAGAGAGAGGACTCTGGTTTTATTTCCTCTGTTTTAGAATCATCGAAAGGTAAGATTGAGAGTAATTTTGTCTGTCGTTTGCTGTTATTTCACTCATGTACACTCTCTCTCGGCGAAGATATTCATGTTTTTGTTGCTGTATATTTATGTGTGTGTATATATATATAATATAATGTATATACACTGCACGCAATAGTTTAATTCTTACTGTATTGGTTGAGATTTGTATATTTGATCCCTGTGATTCTAATACTGTTGCTTTCTCTCCCTCGTCCATCAATTTATGAGGTTAATACTTTTGTTTTATTTTTAATCTGTTTATTTATTCCTGGCTAGCTTAAATTTCCGACCTCCATTGTGTTCTCTACTACTCCTTATTGTTATTTTTGTATCTTGTATTAGTGTTTATCATATGAAATCTTTTGATTTTTTTTTTTTTTTAATTAAAACTTTTGTGGTAGTTTTTTTTTTTCTCTATTCCATCTAGCTTTTCTCTACTCTTTTGGAATTTAATATTCCACAAAAAAATACCAGACTTTTGTTGAACCATGCTCATATATATATATACACACACACATATACACACATAAATATGTAATACACACATATACACATAAATATGTCATACATCATATGCATGGTTTCCGAGGTAAGTAAATTTCAATATAATGGGCGTGCCAAAGTTGGAAGCAATGATTAATGGCCATATATGTCACAAGCTCTCAGTGTACAAACTACAAAGCAGGAACCATTTTTGAGAAAAATTTAATTACATTATTTGGGATTACGTGGTTCTGACCAATAACAGATTGCTACATAACAAAAATAAATAAATACTTGAATAAAGCAAGCAAATGAATAAATTATTCGATGGTCCTCAGGACCTGACCCACCAATCAACTACCAAGTGGTCCACGACCATATAATAATTTCTCATAAATGAGTCTTTCTCATTAATGAGTCTTTTAAGTCTACGTTGCTTGTACCTTTAACTTGAAGTAACTTCCATTTATTGTAATTCCATCCCTCTACTTTTCCATAGACTTGTGTTGCATGACTAATATTTTATTGATGATGTTAATTTTTGTTTTATAATGCTTCTTGTACTTATAATTTTGATACATATACTCTTGTACAAAATGATAAGCACTGAAATCACGTTCAGCTTCTAATTGTTACTCTTATTGGATCAATTATTTTCCTGTGTCAGATTATTTTAATTGTGTTATGAGTTACATCAATTATTCTTGATGTAACTCAAAAGCACTGAAATCAATTATTCTTCAGGATCGTTCTCGAACAATATTTTTCTAATCGTCATTTATTTATTTAAATTAGAGAACCTTTCATGACAATCTGCAGGGTTCCGTTTGCTTTCCATACAATTTTCTTGATTTATTGGCATTTTTAAGGATATATTTCAATTCTTTATCTACCCCAAATATTTGGAGTAGTGGGGCAGTACTCCTGGGATGAATTTTAGCTATTGCAAGGCAAACTTTAGATCCTATTTATGTATAAACTTGTGTTATAGTTATTTTAGATATGAAAAAATTGTATTTGGGAAGGATTTGGAGGGAATATGATTGTAGATTGTAAAATCATGTTGATTTTTTATTTGTTTATTCATGTAATATTTGGTTAAGAGTCTACCAAGTTGAATGTGGCTAAACTACACCATAATAGAGGTTGTGTGATCATCAAATCAGCACCTTCAGGCTCTTTGCCCTTGCTTTCAAGTGATTTTAATTATATCAGATGTTTAACATTTGCTTTTAAGTAATTAAAGAAAGTGATTTTGATTTTCATATTTTTTTAGTACAGAGTAGTCTGTGAAATTAAAAATAATAATAGATGATTTTAATTATGGGTTATATCTCTTTCGTTTATGTTTCTTTTGGCTCAAGTCTTGAAACGATGCCTAAGCCATTGCATTTGCATGGATATGTATGTGTTTAATTACTATTATTTTTGTTGATAATATTAATTTTGTTTTGTATTATTTTTTTATACAAAAGATTTTGATACAGATACTCCTATACAAATGCAAATGTTGCTGAGATCATTTTGACTTCTAATTGTCACTCTTGTTTAGTCAATTATTTGTCTGCTCAGATTATTTGAAACTGTGTTAGTTGTTTCATTTTCTCAAATTTTCCTTTCCTTAGTGTAGTAAATCAAAATCATATGAAATTCTGCAGATAATCTCCTTTTAGAGAAATTTTCAAAACTTTTTGCAGCGGTCCCTTTGCTTAATTAATTGACAATCTGTGATTTTAAACATGATGCTTATTATTTTTCTTCTACTCAATTTTTTAGGTTACTGGTTCAAGTAAAAGATGGAGAAATCAGGTACTGAGAAGACAGGCAAACACCTGACTTCCTACTCAGAACAAGTGGAGCCTCCTAAGCGTTCGATAATCAGCAGGCGTGGGTTTGGAAGTGCTGGACGACGCATTTCTTTGCTCACAAACCACTTCAAAGTTTCTGTCAGACGCCCAGATGAAATATTTTACCAGTATAGTGTACGCTTACATGTCCCGATTTTTAGTATTTCAGAGCCAGGAATAGTTTGGTGTGAAATTTCTTAATCCACATTACGTGCAGGTTTCAATTAGTTATGAAGATGGAAAAGTTGTAGAGAACAAGGGAATTGGAAGAAAAATAATTGACAAACTTTACCAGACATACAATTCTGAACTTGCAGGAAAGAGAGGTGCATATGATGGAGAGAATACTCTGTATACAGTTGGGCCTCTTCCACAAAACAATTTTGAGTTCACAGTGGTGGTTGAGGATTCATTTGCAAACCGGTATTGCTTTCTCTTTTTAGTAGAAAGTTTTTTCTTCACTATTTTAATTATCACTGATCCATTACCTTGCATTCTGATATCTAATTATTTACCATGACTTATGATTCATTCTTCATTTACTGTTAGTGGTAGCCCTTCTCACATTGGGAGCCCCAGTGAGTCTAGTAAGAGGTCAAAGCGTTCTTTTCGAGAGAAAATTTTCAAGGTAAAGATAAATTATGCTGCTAAAATACCTTTGAAGTCCATCTCTCTTGCCCTCCAAGGAAGAGGGGGTGAACATGTTGAGGATGCACTAAGAGTGCTTGACATCATACTGAGGCAGCAAGCAGCTAAGAGGTAGTTTTATAAATTTCCCCTTCGTTTCGTGTCTTCTGTCATTTTTCGTGTTGCTGCCAGCTTTTATTTGTTAAAAATATACATGTTGAATGCAGTGGATGCCTTCTGGTGAGGCAATCATTTTTTCAAGACGACTCGAGGAATTTCACTGATGTTGGAGGTGGTGTAAAGGCCTGTCGGGGTTTTCATTCCAGCTTTCGCCCAACTCAGGGTGGTTTGTCCCTGAACATGGGTATAACTCGAAACATGTCCTAAAGAATCATTGCTGCATCTTCTTGTGTATTCCCTTTTGCTGTAATTTGATCTTTGTTAATGCTGCTACATTTCCTTGTGCAGATGTAACGACAACCATGATCCTATCGCCTGGGCCTGTGATTGATTTTCTGCTAGCTAACCAGAATGTACGCGAGCCTCGCTTTATTGACTGGGCAAAGGTAATAAACTATTAAAATGGTTCACGTTGTTTTTATATTTTTTTTTGTTGTTTTTGTCCCCCAGCATTTTGACTTGATGGTGGACATGTACAGGCTAAGAGAATGCTGAAAAATATGAGGATTACAACAATGCACATCAAAAGGGAATTTAAGATCACAGGTCTAAGTGAAAAGCCTTGTAATCAGCAATTGTAAGTGTTTGTTATTTTCTGTGGAATTTATTTCTCCTCTTCTTTTTTCTCTCTTTCCACCTGAAGAAATTTAATCCAACTTTGTTTCGCTTTCCTCAAGTTTTCCTTTGAAAGTAAAAAATGGTGATGGTGGGAAAGATGGACAGACTATAGATATTACTGTCTATGAGTATTTTACCAAACACCGTGAAATAAAACTTGGCTATTCTGCATGCATGCCATGCCTTGATGTTGGCAAACCAAAGCGGCCCAACTATCTGCCTTTAGAGGTGTGTGTGGTTCTTGCAGCATTCTGTTTTTTTTTTTTTTTTGTTTTTTTTCTTTTCTCTTTGTTTAATTACCCTCTGGCCTCTCTAAAAGATTTGAATTTGTTTCCTTTTATTCTAGCTATGTTCACTCGTTTCTCTTCAACGCTATACAAAGGCATTATCTTCAACGCAGAGGTCAAATTTAGTTGAGAAGTCGAGGCAAAAGCCTCAGGAACGAATGCGAGTTGTGACTGATGTAAAGTTTTCTTCAACACCTTTCTAATCCTTTTAAGTTTTATGGAATTACTGCTTACTACCTAGTATGGCAGGCTGTGAGAACACACCGTTATGAGGACGACCCCATCCTTGCTGCTTGTGGCATTTCAATTGAGAAGCAGCTTACTCAAGTTGATGGCCGTGTCCTCGAGGCACCAAAGGTAGGTATTCCCTTTCTCTTGAAAGGGATGTGTTTGTTGCAAGTTTTTAAATACAAAATTGACCAACAGTGTGCTTATAGATCTATTTTCACTTCTAATATACAGTTGAAGGTTGGCAGTGGTCAAGATTGCTTCCCCCGTAATGGACGATGGAATTATAATAACAAGGTATTACTTTGGTTCCTTGAAAATATGGGATGAAAAATTGTTGAGAGAGAAATGATTCAATCGACTCCTTTTTTTGCATCTAATATATAAAACTAATAAACTATGATATCTAATTTTCCTGTTTATAATTTTTATGAAGCAACTCTTCCATACTATCCCGATAAGAAGCTGGGCAGTTGTCAACTTCTCTGCTCGTTGTGATACGAGTCATGTTTCCAGAGAGCTTATTAATTGCGGAAGGAACAAAGGCATTGTATGTCACACACTATTTTTTCTCTCCATTAGATGGGAACTGTTTTTCATGTTTTGCTTGACAATGTGGGTTTTTTTTTTTTTTTTTTTTTTTTTTTTTTTTTTTTTTTTTTTTGCAGCAAATTGAACGCCCGGAGATGCTAATCGAGGAAGAACAACATTGTAGAAGAAAAAGCCCCAATGAACGAGTTGAAAAGATGTTTGAACAGCTTAAGGCAAAGCTTTCAAAGACTCCTCACTTTATTCTCTGTGTCCTGCCGGAGCGGAAGAATTCTGACATTTATGGTATGATTGTTGTTGTTGTTGCCCTTTTTCTTTTTCTTTTTTTTTCCTTAATTGTTTTTAAAGGTAATTTAATTATATTTTTCTAAATTTTATGAAGGACCATGGAAGAAGAAATGTCTATGTGATTTTGGAATCGTCACACAATGTATGTCCCCTATCAAGATTAATGACCAGTACTTGACGAATTTGCTTCTTAAAATCAATTCCAAGGTATTTTTTGGAGTTAAAAACTTTTGTAATTGTAAGGTAATTAGTTTTTAATTTATCTTAAACAATTACTGATTATTTTATTTGGTTTGTTTTTATAGATTGGCGGGGTCAATTCCTTGTTGGCAAATGAGCGCCCCTCTCGTATCCCCATGATCAAAGACACTCCAACAATGATTTTGGGTATGGACGTTTCTCATGGCTCACCTGGTCGATCAGATGTCCCATCAATTGCTGCGGTACTTCTCCTATGCTATTCTTGTACATTGTTTATTTTTAATTATTATTATTATTATTTTTTGATAAGTTATTTTTAATTATTATTGCAGTATGTTAAGTGACTAGCTTAACTGCTTAATAAATTGGTCTGCTAATGTAATATGTTCAGGTTGTTGGATCTCTATCTTGGCCACATGTATCGAGGTACAGAGCAGTTGTACGAACACAACCGTCTAAGGTGGAGATGATTGAATCTCTTTTCAAACCTTTAGCAAATGGGGAGGATGATGGTATCATGAGGTACTTCTAGACTTCTAGTATAGGATGAATTTCTGTACCAAAATAGGAATTGAGTTGGATATATAGATTTTGAATTACCATTATTCAGGGAGCTGCTTATGGATTTCTATGACACAAGCAATGGACGAAAACCTACTCAGATAATTGTCTTCAGGTATTGCTACATTGTTGTTTGAATACTTCTCTTTCTGACTTATCGTTTTGCCATTTGTTTTGAGGGTGAAATTTTGTTATGGAATAACATTTATAATATTACATCCGGATATCATATTGTTTTTCCTTTGTTATCTATATATAGGGACTGCTACTATATGTCAATTCCTATCTTGAAATGCTATTTCATAGATAAACTACTTCACTAAAGATCACGTGAGAATGTCAGATGAGTTATAGGAAGAGAGTGAAAATTGCACTCTCTGCTGTCATCTTCATCAGAAATTAATTTTGGGTTAATATCCGGAATCCTTGCTTGCAGTCTGTGTTGTATCCTCAGTCCCATAGGGTTCAAATGTTCATACCTGAATTCAATATTAGGTGTTGAATGCAATGTTGCTGCATTTTCGTCTTTTCATTTTTTTCCCACTTCTTTTTTTATACATATAAAGTGAAACTACGTCACTGAGGTAAAAGAGATTCGGTTTTTAGTTTTGTAATCTCGCATAGTTGCACCTAAGCAGATCGATTTTTTGTCCCTTGTTTGAACTTTGAACTATTTGATTTATATTTAAGCTCCGACAATGTGATTTTTGATATTTGTTTGAGTGAATTATGATTATTTTTTTATGGAGATTATCTAATCCCGTTTCTTTACTTTTCCTTTTTTCTTAGGGATGGAGTGAGCGAGTCACAATTTAATCAAGTTCTGGACAATGAGCTGGATCAAATGACAAAGGTTCTTTATATTCATCATCATCAAATTAATTTATAAGTTTTAATAGTTTATTGAAAAAAGTTAGACTTCTATTTTCTGAGGATATTTGGAGTCAATTATCGTATATATTGGGCTTTTTGGCTTTTGCTTGGTGCAAAGCCTGTAGCTCGATTTGCCAAGCATGAGAGCATGGGGTCAAGACTAAGGACAGGCACTTTGTGCCAATAACGTCAAAGTGTATTGCATTCATGCTTCTCTCAACAACCTTGGCTAGTGAGATCACAGTGTCCTTTCTATAGGGGTCGCGATACTTGACACAACACATTAAATGAGTTGATACTTGACATAATACATGTTAAATGAGTTTAGTTTTTGACTTAGTCGTATTCAGATCAGAATTGTGTTGATCAGAATTGACACACTTCAACCCGTTTATAAGATGATTAGGTAAACGTGTAAGGTCAACAATTTATTTACTTGCCAACCTGTTGACCCTAGTACAACAACAACTTAATTATATGATGTTTGCATCTGCTAATAATGGTCTTGGTTCTGCATTTTATTTTTGGGGCATATGATTGTAGGTCACCTGTAGCATCTGCTAATAATGGAAAGTTTACTGCAGGCTTATTTACATCTTGACGGATCTGACATTCCCAAATTTACAGTGATTGTGGCTCAGAAGAATCACCACACAAAGCTATTTCAAGCTGGTGGTGCGCCAGAAAATGTTCCACCTGGTCTGCTACTCAATGGTGTTGTTTTTGCTTATATTGTACTTAATGTGTTAGCTTGTGCTAAAGTGCTCTTCCATCTCTCTATCTGTCCTCTGTCCAGGAACTGTTGTTGACACAAAAGTTGTGCATCCAAGACACTATGACTTCTACATGTGTGCACATGCTGGGATGATTGTGAGTTGTTACCTTCTTTGGTTACTATCTTTTTCATTTTTTTGTTTTATCTTTATATTTATTTATTTATTTTAATTAAAATGACAGGGAACTTCTCGGCCTGCACATTATAATGTCTTGCTTGATGAGATTGGTTTTTCTCCTGATGACCTGCAAAATCTTATCCACTCACTATCATACGTGTAAGCTTTCAATCTGCCATATGTGTCTCTACCCTTTGGTGTTTGGATCCTCTGTTGTTACAGCACGTGTGTTGTTTTACATAGCATCGGGACTTGTGTCTATGATATTTTTGCCTAGTAAAAAGAGCATTAATATGTTCATTTTGGCCCTTTTCAGGTACCAAAGGAGCACTACTGCTGTCTCAATAGGTATATTCACCAATTTTATTAAATTCTCCCATTTAAAAATAATGCAAAAAATAGATATTGTTAATAAATGTAGTAGAATTTAAGTTGGTTGGTTAGATAGTAATTCTGCATCTCAGTGGTAGTGTTTTTCCTTTCTCCAGTGGCACCAGTCTGTTATGCCCACCTAGCAGCTGCTCAGATGGCTCAATTTATGAAATTTGAGGACTTATCGGAAACTTCTTCGGGACAGAGAAGCTTTACTGCAGTAGGCAGTGCACTTGTTCCTGAAATGCCCAGGTTGCATAACAATGTAAAGTGTTCTATGTTCTTCTGTTAAGGTGGTGATGACTTGTAACTCTTCTAACCTTAATAGTATATCAACAAGCCCTAGTTGGTGATATATGCGTCAGTGAGATCCCAGTTCTTGAGCACAGATGGTGTAAACCAGCTGTGAGGTTCAGTTAAAAGCAGTGAAGCATCAACGTCGTGGTGGCTGTGTGATTATATTTAAAGGGAAGGGAAATGGGGCTGCTTATAGTTTGGCTAGAATTGCTTTGTTTATGGAGGCAAATGTTTGGCTTTATTTATTTATTTATTTTATAAAAAAAGTGATTAATAGCCTGTTTGGTGATCACAGAAGTGTTAGTCATACAATGGGGACGAAATTCCACTCACAGTTTTAAAAATACATATAATTTGTGTTTTTGCCAAAAGTTTTATGGGTCAAAATATCTGCCACAAAAGGCATTATTTTTATGCAGACAAACACAATTAAACTAAAGTTTTGAATGTTGGCTTTCAAGTAAATTGTGGACATTTTGGCGGAGAAAGGGAAGGGTGAAGGAATTTGAAAGAGTATAAAAACAATTGAAGTAAAAATACCTTTTTATGACAGAAGGTGGAAGGTCAAAGAAAATAATAAGATAATAATAGTCGAGAAAATTCTCTGTCCTGTAGATAAACTCAATTAATCAATGAAGCTATTTGCACTTTACTTTTTCACCTTTGAACTACAATTTTAAATGAAATGACAATTATAACCTTAACTTTACAAATAAATTATTATTACTTTTTAAATGACATAACTGTCATTTCAGATTTTCTCTCCTTATTTCTAATCTTTAATATTTATGTCTCTTTTGGCAAGATATATATATATATATATATATATATATATATATATATATATATATATATAATTGACTAATATTTTGTTTCTAAGACAAAAAAAAAATTGTTGAATAAATTGTCTTTTTTGACCTGACCAAAAATATAAAAAAAGTAACCATTAAAATAATTATCTCTTTTGGCAGACAAAAAATCCAAAAAAAATATTTATTGAAGAAATTATCTCTTTTGTCAAGATTAAAAAAAAAAAAACGAAAATAGATGATTAATATATATATATATATATTGAATAAATTATCTCTTTTGATAATACCCAAATATATATATATATATATATATATATATATATATATATTTCTATTGAATAAATTATTTCTTTTAATGGGACCCATAAAAAATCACAAAAAAAATGGACTGAAAAAATTATTTGTCTTGATTGCACAAAAAAGAGTCAAAAATACTAAAAGAACTAAAGAATGTAAAAAAAAATTTAAAGTTATACAAAGGGTAGTTATGACATTATAAATGCATTAGTGAATAAAAAAACTTTCTTGTCATTTTCTATAAAAGAAAAAGATAAAGTAAGGTGCAATTAGAGAAAAGTGGAGTGCGAATATTACCTCCCTTAATCAACTAAGAGTGATGTAAAACTCAGTTGAGTGTATTAATTCAAATTTTTTTTACATGAATGTTAAAATAATAGCGTCCTTTTTATTGTGTCCTACCTTGAGCTCAAAGGTAACATTTTCACCCATGGGAGTTCGGTAACTTTTCAGGCGTTGCACGGAATAGAATTGAAGGACATTTTGTTTAGTGTGATAGGTTTTTTTTTCGTAATTGGTTTTAATTTTTTTTCAAGTTCTATAGATATTGAGTTAAAGTTGCTACTTTAGTATTACTCCGACCCAAAATAGAGGTCCATTTTTAGAAATGGGAGTTTTTAAGGGGACATGCATTTAATGCATTGTCCCTTTTTAAAATTATCAATTTGTCCCTTCTAATTTAAATATATATAAGGGTAAAATGCCATAAACCCCCCCTCAATTATATTCCAAGTGCAACTAACCCCCCTTAACTACAAATAACCCCCCTCAACTATAGTCTTGGTGTAGTCTTAGGACAGAGAAGGTTTTTCTGGTCATCTCCTGTCACCAGAAATTGAAAAAGTCTATTTTACCCCTCTCATAAAAAGGGTGTCACTTCACAATAAAAACGCCACTGTTTTCCTTCAAGAACTTAAATGAACTTAAATAAATTTAATAAACAATTATATGATGACACCTCGTGTAACTTAAAATAAAAATTATATTTACAGAGAGAAAAAAAAAATTGTGAAATATAAGGGTCAACCCAACCAAGTTCTCCTAGCAGATTGAGGAAGGTGAAGTAGTGGCGACAACCAACAAATCCAACGACAACAAAGAGTTGGCAAGGAATATGACAGTGACAGATTTGGATGGCCACAGCAGAAATTAGTCCAGTGGCGACAACGGGAAAGGCTTAAACAACTATGATAAAAGGCCTGATCAACGGCGATGGTTGTGAGAATGTTGTGATGGTGTTTCAATGGCGAGACCCGCCGACGTAGTTGTTGTAGCGGCAATGGTTTCAATTAATGTTCTGTTAATTATATGTGTTTGGCGAAGATGGGGTTATGATTTTTTCGAATGGGTTTGCTTGGTAATCAGCCACAAAGATATTGATGGAGTTTTGCGATTGGATTTTGCTTAAATTCAAGAAATCGAAATTCAAATTTCAATTTAGGGGTTGGGTCTGTACTGTAACTCACTGGATTGAGTTATGACGTTCCTGTTTTGAACTGAAACTCTCGGGTCTAGACTGAACTTCAACGGACGGTTGGTCATTGTTCTAAACCTTTTCCGATTTGGGTCACTGAAATTCTCAAGTAACAATTGTCTTGTTTTAGCAACGAACCTTTTATCTTAGATCACGCCGGCCACTACCTTATTCTCCTTCAACCAGGACTCCGGCGGCGACCTGGTATATCCCACGGACGGCTACGGTCGCTGTTCTCCATAACTTGCTGGGTCGCTACAGTAGCGACCCCATCCTCCAACATGTAGCAACCCAAAGGTCGATACCATCCACGGCGAGAACCAGGTCATAAAAACGACCTGGTCATATTCATGGTGTAGAGATGAAGCTCTTCATTTTGGTCTCCAATGGAGATAGAAAAAAGAGAGAAAATTGGGTGAAGAGGATAAAGAGGAATTAGGGATTTCGAGTTGAATGGGTAACAATCTTATAATATAAGGGTAGTATAGTATTTTTGTATGACAAGGGTTGAATGGTCATTTAATTTAAATATGGTACTGAGAGACTCAATTTAATGGCCAAAAAATTAGCCGGTGGTCGGATTGGGTAAATTGCCACCAAACCCCTAAGTTGAGGGGGGTTAAATGCTACTTTAGAAATTCAAGGGGGTTTTGTGCTCATTGGGGTATAATTGAGGGGGGTTTATTGCACTTTATCCTACATATAATTACAAAGTTTGAAATTTTTTAAAAAGATAAAGGACAATGATGAAAATATAGAATTTATTTACTTTGACTTTTTAAGGAGGACAAATAATTTGGGACATCTAAAAAGAGAAAAATGGACTACTAATGGAGGGAGTAATTGTAGCACCAAAACATGATATCATATTATCATACACGTTACATGCGCAAGAAGGTTTAAAAGTGAACCGTTGAAATATATATGATTCCAATCACGCTTCGCATCTGTACATTATGTACCCTCGTCACCAGGCGAATGCAACTTTTGTACATTGTACAGAATAATAACTCAGTGTCCATCTAATGCCCAGTCCGTCCTTCCACCACGACTCTGTAAAAAGTAAAAACAGTAAGTACCAAACGCTGCAGCCTATTATAGTAAAGGATGAGTTCTAATTTAAATTACTAACGTAACCCTGTAATTTTTAATTTTGGCAAATACTATCTTAAAAAAACCAAAAACATTTACATAGCACACTGTTAGGTTAGACCATCAAAACATTTATTTATTTATTTTCTGTTGCAGGACATCTCATGTTATAAAATCACCATAAAATATATAAAATTTGGTTTAAAATCCTCCCTTTTTTTCAAGAATATGAAATAAACACTTAATTCTTACCGTTTAGAGGTTCTTACAGATAAATTTGAAGATAATTTAGTTGTTTTAAGGAGACATTGCTACTTTATTTGCAAAATTTCAACAATTTATGAATAATTATATTTCAAAGGTAATATACAAATTTCTATGGTTTAAGAGATTTTTTTGAATTTAATTGTTCTATATGTTAAATAAATAAATAATAAGGGTCCGACTTGGGTGCACTGTGCACCCAATTATTCATCCGAACCGTACGTATACTTGATAATCATCGAATCGACGGCCGTGATTAGAAATCAAGGGCACGACCGATATGAAAATTACTTGTCCCGATACTCTGTGTTACCCCAATTTTTTGTTATTGGGATATATAAAGCCGTAATTTTACTATTTTCCTTCACAAAAATACTCTCTCTTTCCCTCCAATCTCTCTCTCCCCCCTTCTTCAAGGTTAAGGTGCAGAGAGGAGAGAGACTCCTCCAGTTTTATTTTCCTCTGTTTCAGAAACCCTAACGAAGCTGTCTTAGAATCATGGAAAGGTAAGATTGAGAGTAATTTGGTATTTCTTTCACTATTTTTTTTTCAGTTACATACACTCTCTCTTACTGAAGATCTTCATGTTTTTGTCGCTCTATTTATATATCTATATGTTAATGTATATATGCAGGCAGATTATATCTCACTGTATGGGTTGAGATTTGTACATTTCGCTTACTGCATTGATCTCTGTGACTCCGGTGCTGTTCTTCGTCTCCGCTGTTATACACACACGAGGTTAATACTTTTGCTATTTTTTAATTTGTTAATTTTTTTTTTTCTTTGCTCTCTTCAAATCTCGAGCTCCATTCTTATTTTGACTGCTTGTTATTGTTATATTTGTGGTTGTTTTGCATGTTCACTGGAGAGTTCTGGTTGTTCTCTGATTATTTGTTTGTTCAATTTTGTCTGGACTTATGTTGATTACTTCTTGTTGATTTGTGTATCTAATCACTCTAGTTTTATCTGTTGCTTTTTTTTTTTTGGTTGGGGGGGGGGGGGGGGGGGGGTGTTTAGTGGGTGGGTTTAGTTTCTCTTCATTTATTTCTCTTTCCTTGTCTATCTTTGTGGGATTTTTACTCATGAGTGAGAATTTATTTTCTAAGCTTTATTTATGTTAGATTCTTGTTTTAGTCTTAACTTGTATAGATTATCTTTTGATTTTTTCCTTAAATTTTAATGGCAGTATATCTACCTCAAATATATGCTCTCAGACCTATATCATTTGGGTTATTGGGATGAATTTTAACCATTGCAAGGCATACTTTAGATGCAATTGACTTGTATATTCATCTTATAGTTGTTCAAGAGCCTACCAAGTTGAATATGGCTAACCTACTTCCTATAGAGGTGGTGACTTTTCCCTTGCTTTTAAGTGATATTTATATCAGGTGTTTAACCTTTGCTTTTGTTGGAAGGAAAAAAGAAAATGAAAAAGAAAGAAACAGAGAAGAACTAAAATTTTTGGTGGGACTAAAGAAGATAAATAGATGATTTATTTGTGGGTTCTCTCTTTCATGGCTTTTCTCTTGGCTCAATTCTTAAAAAGTTGCCTATTGCATTCTGCAAACCTTGTGACCTCTAGCCTTCTCCGCAGATTTGCATTGCATGACTAATCTTTTATTGATGATATTAATCTCGTTTTAATATTGTTCTTATACATATGATTTTTATACAAATACTCTTGTACAAATGATAATGTTGCTGACATCATTTTAACTTTTAATTGTTACTATTGTTATTTTATTTGCTTGACTGATCAGATTAATTGAAGCATGTTAGAATTTCATTCTCTCAAACACTCCTTGGTTTAGTGGTTTAACTCAAAATCATATGAATTTCTTCAGGATCGTTCTTGCGAGAATACTTTTTTGATGATCTTTTTTAATAAGGAACCTTTCATGACTATCTGCAGGGGTCCTTTTGCTTAATTCATAATTATTGATTTTAAACATGATGCTTATTTTTTTTCTTCTATTCATATTTTAGGTTACTGGTTAAAGTAACGGATGGAGAAAGCAGGTAATGAGGAGGCAGGTGAATCACTGCCTTTGCCCTCGCAACCACCAGTTGTACCACCCAATGGGAAGCCAGAACAAGTGGACCCTCCTAAGCGTTCTATAATCAGCCGGCGTGGGTTTGGAAGTGCTGGACGACACATTTCTTTGCTCACAAACCACTTTAAAGTTTCTGTCAGACATCCAGATGAAATGTTTTACCAGTATAGTGTACGCTTACATGTGCCGATTTTAGTATTTCAGAGCCAGGAATAGTTTGGTGTGAAATTTAGAATCCACATTAATTATGTGCAGGTTTCTATTAGTTATGAAGATGGGAAAGCTGTAGAGAACAAGGGGATTGGAAGAAAAATAATTGACAGACTTTACCAAACATACGCTTTGGAACTTGGTGGAAAGAGATGTGCATATGATGGAGAGAAGAGTCTGTATACAGTGGGGCCTCTTCCGCAAAACAATTTGGAGTTCACAGTGGTACTTGAGGATTCGGTTGCCAAGCGGTATGCTTTCTCTTCCTAGTAGAAAATTGTTCTTCACTATTTTATCACTTAAATGCATTGCATTCTTCTACATAATTATTCCCTGACTTTTGATACATTCTTCTTTTAGTGGTAGTGGGAATGGGAGCCCCAGCGAGTCTAGTAAGAGATCAAAGCGTTCTTTTCAGCCAAAAACTTTCAAGGTAGAGATCAGTTATGCTGCTAAAATACCTTTGAAATCCATATCTCTTGTCCTCCAAGGAAGTGTGGCCGAAAATATTCAGGATTCACTAAGAGTGCTTGATATTATATTGAGGCAGCAAGCAGCTAACAGGTATTTTATAAATTTCCCCTTCATTTGTTGTCTTCTGTCAGTTTTCTGCTGCTACTAGCTTTTATTTATTAATGTTTTCAATGTTGAATGCAGAGGATGCTTACTGGTGAGGCAATCATTTTTTCATGATGACACAAGGAACTTTACTGATATTGGAGGAGGTGTAATTGGCTGTCGGGGTTTTCATTCCAGCTTTCGCCCAACTCAGGGTGGTTTGTCCTTGAATATGGGTATAACTCAAAGCATGTCCTAAAGAAATGTTGCTGCATCTTCTTGTGTATTCCCTTTTGCTTAATATGAATTTTGATTTTTGTTAATGCTGCTTACATTTCCTCGTGCAGATGTATCTACAACTATGATCCTATCACCTGGACCTGTGATTGATTTTCTGCTAGCTAACCAGAATGCACGAGAGCCTCGCTTTATTGACTGGGCAAAGGTAGTAAACTGGGTTTTGTGTATTTATATTTTCTTTTGTTTTTGTGCACAGGATTTCAACTTGTTGGTGGACATGTACAGGCTAAAAAAATGCTGAAAAATATGAGAGTTAAGACAAGGCACAGCAACATGGAATATAAGATCACAGGTCTAAGTGAAAAGCCTTGCAATCAGCAATTGTGAGTGTTTTGTAGAATTCCAATTTTTTTTTCCTTAGCTCTTTTCCGCCTGAAGAACTTTAATCCAACATTGTTTCATGTTCCTCAAGTTTTCCTTTGAAAGTGAAAAATGGTGATCGTGTGAATGATGGAGGACAGGCTACAGAAATTACTGTCTATGAGTATTTTACTAAACACCGTGAAATGGAACTTACCTATTCTGCATACATGCCATGCCTTGATGTTGGCAAACCAAAGAGGCCCAACTATCTTCCTTTAGAGGTTTGTATGGTTTTTAGTGTATTTATCATATTTAGTTTTTTTGTTTTTCTATTTAATTCCCCTATCTCTAAAAGATTTTTATTTGTTTCTTTCTATTCCAGCTCTGTTCACTTGTTTCTCTTCAACGCTATACAAAGGCATTATCTTCAATGCAGAGGGCATCTTTAGTTGAAAAGTCGAGGCAAAAGCCCCAGGAACGAATACGAGTTGTGACTGATGTAAAATTTTCTTAACACCTTCCTTAACCTTTCAGTTTTAGTGTTTCAATTTTACTGCTCACCTAGTTTGGCAGGCTGTGAGAAACTATAGTTATGATGAAGACCCAATTTTTGCTGCTTGCGGCATTTCAATTGAGAAGCAGCTTACTCAAGTTGATGGTCGTGTCCTCGAAGCACCAAAGGTAGGTGTTGGCTCTTTCTTGAAAGGATGTGTTTGTGCATGTTTTTCATGATAAATTGACTAACAATGTGCTTGTCAATCTATTTTCACTTGTAATTTACAGTTGAAGGTTGGCAACAGTGAAGATTGCATCCCCCGTAATGGACGATGGAATTTTAATAACAAGGTATTACCTTGGTTTCTTGAAAATTTGGGATGAAAAAATGTTAAGAGAGATGATTCTATCAACTCACTTGTTTTGTATATATTTATAAAACTATAATATCTGATTTGCCAGTTTATAACATTCTTTTATATTCTTATGAAGAAACTTTTAAATCCTGTCCGGATAGAACGATGGGCAGTTGTCAACTTCTCTGCTCGTTGTGATACAAGTCATATTTCCAGAGAGCTTATTAATTGCGGAAGGAACAAGGGAATTGTAGGTTACACAAATTTTTTTTTATCTTTCTAATAGATATTAATTGTTACAATTTTTTGTCTTTCTAATAGATTTTAATTGTTTTAGTCATGTTGCGCTTGATGATGTTTTTTTTTTTTCCTCTTTATTTTCAGCATATTGAACGCCCGTATACTCTAATTGAGGAAGATCAACATTGTAGAAGAGCTAGCCCCATAGTACGAGTAGAAAAAATGTTTGAACAGATTATGGCAAAGCTCCCAGCCCCTCCTCAATTTCTTCTTTGTGTTCTGCCCGAGCGAAAAAATTCTGATATTTATGGTATGACTGATTTTTTTTTTCTTTAATAGTTTTTAATGGTAATTTAGTGCTAACTTGATATGTATATTTTTCTAAATGTTATCAAGGACCTTGGAAAAAGAAAAGTCTGAGTGATATTGGAATTGCCACCCAATGTATTTCCCCTACCAAGATCAATGACCAGTATCTTACGAATGTGCTTCTTAAAATCAATTCCAAGGTATTTTTAGAATTAAAGCTTTAGGAAATTGTATTGTGATTTCTTCTATAATTTATCTTACAAAATTACTTATTCATTTTGTTTGTTTCCCTTTATAGCTTGGGGGGATTAATTCTTTGTTGGCGCTTGAGCACTCATCTCGTATCCCCCGTATCAAAGATACTCCAACAATGATTTTAGGTATGGATGTCTCTCATGGGTCGCCTGGTCAATCAGATAGCCCATCAATTGCTGCGGTACTTCTGCTATGATACTTCTACACGTTTTTATTTTTAATTAATTAATTTATTTTTATTGCAGTATGGTGCTCAGTCACTAACTTTACTGTTCCTTAATAATTTGGGTGCTAATTTAATACTTCCAGGTTGTTGGCTCTCGATCTTGGCCACTGATATCAAGATACAGAGCAGCTGTTAGAACACAATCGTCAAAGGTGGAGATGATAGAATCTCTCTTCAAACCTTTAGCAAATGGGGAGGATGACGGTATCATGAGGTACTTCTAGTAGAGGATGAATTTCTATACCAATAAAAAAAAAAAATTTAGTTGGATATAAGTGAATTCTAATATATAGATTTTGAAATTCCATTGTGCAGGGAGCTTCTTAAGGATTTCTATCAAACAAGCAATGGACGAAAACCTACTCAGATAATTGTCTTCAGGTATTGCTACATTGTTCTTGTATACTTCTCTGTTCTGACTTATCATTTAGGCATTGTTGTTTTTTTGGCCTCTTTGAAGGCCTAGTGGTTTTTGCTTCTTGTTGTTCCTTCGGGATGCGCTCCCCTCTTGAGCGCTTTTTTATACATTTCTTACTTATCAAAAAAAAAAAATTTAGGCATTTGTTAGATGGTGAATTTTTATGGAATAACATTTATAAATTTACATCTGGATGACTTTTTTCACTTTTCCTCTTGGTGGGAGGGGTTGGGGCCTGGGGGTCAGTGGTGGGGCTGCATGGTATATAAACTTTATCTAGATGTTGATCATGTTGCTTCTTCTAGTTAGTTTAATGACTTGCGATTGACTCTAGAGATGAGTTTGGCAATCGATTTAACAGTCAAATGAAAGGAGGTTAGTCTTTCATTGTCTGCATCAAGAGTACTGTGTAAAAGGCTTTGGCTTCACAATACAGTCAATTCCTATCTTGAAATGCTATTTAATAGATAAAATTAATCATGAAATATCATGTGAGAATGTCAGATGAGTTATAGGAAGAGAGTGAAAATTGCACTCTCTGCTGTCCTCCTCATCAGAAATTATTTTTAGGTTAATATCCAGAAGCCTCGCTTGCTGTTTTTACGTGTTGTCTCCTCAATCCCATGGTTGAAATATTCATAGTTGGATTCAATATTAGGTGTTGAACTGGCTTAGAATGCAATGTTGCTGCATTGTTGTTTTTTCATTTTTTTCCTCTTCTTCTATACATATAAAGTGAAACTATTTCACAGAGGTAAAAGAATGTCAGTTTTTTAGTTTTTCAATCTTGCACCTAATCATATCCATTTTATGTCCCTTGTTTGAACTTTGAACTGTTTGGTTTATATTTTAGTTCCGACAATGTGATTTGATATTTGTTTGAGTGAACTATGATTATTTAATCCTTTTTCTTTATTTTTTCCTTTTTTCCTTAGGGATGGAGTGAGCGAGTCACAGTTTAATCAAGTTCTGAACAATGAGCTGGATCAAATGATAAAGGTTCTTTATATTCAGCTTTGAATTTATTAGTTTTAATAGCGTATCGAAGAAAGTTAATTGTATTTTCAGGATATTTGGAGTCAATTATTGTAAATATTGGGCTCTTTGGCTATTGTTTGGTGCAAAGGCTGAAGCTTGAGTTGCCAAGCATGAGATCATTGGGTTGCCTAAGGACAGGCACTTTGTGCCAATAATGTCAAAATGGATTGCAATCACTTCATGATTGGCAGCTTGAGTTTGCTCCTTTCAACATCCTTGGCTAATGAGGACCACACAGGTTGTGGCCTTTCTGTAGGTAGGGTGGCAATACTTGACACGACACGCTAAATGACATGTTGGGTTTGGGTTTGACTTAATCGTGTTCAGGTCACTATCGTGTTGATCCGAATTGACAGGCTAATTAAACGTGTGGCGATCGTATTTGACCTGTCATCCCATTTATAACACGATTAGACATGTTTACGTAAACGTGTCAGGTCAACACACTAATTAAATGTGACGTGTTCGTTTTTGACCCGTCAACCCATGACCCTAATAGAAATAGTATGGAATTTTAATTACGTCGTGTCGTTCCAGATCTTTTCCCATTTACTGTATTAAATAAGTTATATAGGTCGTGTTGTGTTAACTATTTAATAATTGTGTCAAGATTCATTGAGACGGAGAATAATTGTGTCGTGTTTGTGTCGGCCACATTGCAGGATGCCCATGTGATGACACAACATGAATATTACACATAAACACTAGTTGCCTCCCTCATCAGTAGGTGACTTACATGCACCTGCCAAGTAGACAGAAATCAATTTATGATTATTAAAGTAGGTCTATCCTTGATCATTTTAAATGACTGGAGCTGGTATCCCATAGAAATAACCACTTTTTAATGCTGATATTTGCATAGTCTTTACTAGGAGGCTTGTGCTCTTGATACTGCATTTTATTCTTAGAGCATATATATATTATGATTGTAGGTCACCTCTGGCATGTGCTAATAATGGTGAGTTTGCTGCAGGCTTACCAGCATCTTGGCGAGTCTGACATTCCCAAGTTCACAGTGATTGTGGCTCAGAAGAATCACCACACAAAGCTATTTCAAGCCGGTGGTGTGCCGGAAAATGTTCCACCTGGTCTGCTACTCAATGGTGGTGTTGTTTTGCTTTTATTGTACTTAATATTAGCTTGTGCTAAAGTGTTATCCCCTCTCTCCAGGAACTGTTGTGGACACAAAAGTTGTGCATCCAAGAAACTACGACTTTTACATGTGTGCACAAGCAGGAATGATTGTGAGTTGTTACCTTCTTTTCTGCCTAGATTCTGGAGTATTATATAATCCATGTTAGTTTAAATTCTGTTTCCTCTGGACCGATTTATTTAGTATGTTGCGGTGGCATCACCACTCTCCAATGTTTTAGTATCCCTATCTTGAGGGTCATCCCTTTGTTTCTGAGAAATGTTGAGGGAAAGGAAAGAAAGGGAGTTTTTCTTTATTTTTTATTTTTTATTTATAGGACATGTTTGGAATGGCATTTCCTAAATGCATAGTTGCTAATTGTTATTGCATTATCTTCTTCATCTTTGACTTTGCCTTAAGATACAATTTAGGTCAATTTTGACTTTTTTTAAGCAACCAAGGCCTACTAGCCGACAGACCTATCACTCTACTCAACCTCCTCGGTGGATCATGCTTTTCCCTAATACTTGTATCTTTCTCTCTACTCTGTTTTTTCTCTAAGGCTCTGTTTGTTTCGACGTAAAATATTCTTTTTTGAATTTTTTTTTTTTTTAGGTAAAATATTTTTTTATTTTTATTTTTTCGGTATTTGGCAAAGGTTTAGGTCGAGATTGAGGTCAAGTCCATCGGGCGGGGCATGTAAAATAACTTGCCAAAACTTGATGGATAAGTTATTTTTATTAAATTTTAGGGTTAATTTCACTGACACCCTCTCAGGTTTGGCCAAATATCACACGGAAACAACTTTCGAAAATTACTATCACTCATACTGCAAATGTTTGTTCTGTTTTTCACGCACACCCCAACCGTCAAATGCAGAGTTCTGACACCATGTAAATTTAACTAAAATACCCTTTGACTTTGTCAAAAGGGTTCTTTAACCTACAAAACTAAATTAAAAGACTAAATTATCCCTAAATGCGTTCCAATCTAAGAAGCACGGACACGGATACGACACAACACCGACACGGCAAATCCAAAAAAATTAGGACACGGACACGGCGGGGACACGGCGAATAGTATATATATAGATGTAGTACTTTAAAAATTACTGAGTGTTGCTATTTTTCATCAACCTCACAATGAAAAAAAAACACAAATCATAACTCATAATTAATAAACTATAAAAGAACAATGTTGCAGAGTTATAAAACCAAATAAAAAACAAGACATTAGAATAATAACTAGTATCATTTAATCATCATTGCAACTTTACTCCAAATACAAAAGCATAGACAGAAAGGACTATTAACATTCATGACTGTTTAACATTCAGGACTTTACTGTTAGCACTTAACATTCACAAAAACCTAAAGGCTAGTCCCCAAAAAAGATACAAAAACTCATTGTACTATCATCTATTCCCATCCATCATTTGACCTAGGACTTTTACCATTTACAATACCAAAAGGGTAGTACAAAACAAAAAAAAGAACATATCAGCATTCAAAAAAAAAAAAAAAATTCCAGAAGTGTCCGTGGAGTGTCTGTGCCGTGTTCACGGAGTGTCCGTGACGTATCCGAGCAGTGTCCGAAAATTAAAAAAAAAAAAAAAATTCCAGACACATTTTTTGGCGTGTCCGACATGTGTCAGGGCGTATCTGTGTCCGACACGTGTCGGATACGGATTCTTCGGCCATTTTGGAGTGTCCGTGCTTCCTAGGTTGCAATTTACAATTATATTCAATTATACAGTCCACCATTGTCACCCTTTCTGTCTCTCTTTCCATTTTCATAAACAAAAAAAAAAAAAAACTGAAGGTTATCTTTGTTTGCTTTTATGAAATAAATTCATTAGTGTCTTTCACGTAATTGGTGTTTCTCTCTTTACACTAGTACTGAACCCAACAACCTCCTCAAATTCTTCGTCCTCCACCAGCGTTCCAACAAATTCACATATCGGAACCCTTATACGCATGATCATATAAATTGACGCATTCTTTTTTCATTTGTTTGTGAAGGTATACAAATATATGATAATATGCAATTGCGATGCATATATATATATATATACACACACATAGCCCATATACATCCGGATATATAGTTTACATACGATTATTTAATTAATTTCACATTCCCAATGGTTTCCAAAGTGATTTGGGTTTGGTTTTGGGTTCTGCAATAATGACAAGGACACGAATTGGGTGCAATAATCTGTAGAAGTATGGATAGTATTAATGAAAAAGAATAGTTTGGAAATGAGTAGAGGAGTGGAATTGGAGCACTAGGTGCTAGAAAATTAAATGATTTGGGTACTCTTCTCCTCCTTCATTTGAATCCACACACACACACACATATATATATAACTGTGTGTATGTATATATAGATAAAGGAGAGGTCGTCGCCGTCGCCATAGCCGTCATTGTTGGAAGGCCACGCTTATTTGTGTATATATATATATATGCACACATATATTTTAGAGAGAGAAACCATTGGGGGCAATGTTGTCTTTTTTAATTTGTTGATATTTTAGTTTAAAATGAATTTTAAAAATAAGGGTAGTTTTGTCTTTTCGCACGTTTTTAACGGTGTTGGTGATGAAAAAGTGAAATTGGACATAAGTGATAGTAATTTTTGAGAGTTGTTTCAGAGTGATATTTGGCCAAACTTGAGGAGGTGTTAGTGAAATTAATTCTAAATTTTAACATTTTTTTTCTTCGTGAATAATTTACGACAACCAAACACCATAAAATAAAAAAATATTTTCAGGAAAATATTTTATGTCCAAACAAACGGAGCCTAAATCTAATGACTTTTTATATATACATGTAAAACAGAAAAGAAGTCATTCCATTTCCAAACAAGTCCCGCCATTTCTTTTCTCCTTTCTCTCCGGGTTCCAAAAAGTAGAAAATCTCAACTACTCCCTATAAGTTAGGCTTCTCAGTTTCAATTGAGTGTAGGCTTTTTCTCGTTAAATAATTAATAATTGAGACTCAAGGTTAGATATTTTTATTGAGCTTTTCTCTGCAAATATTGGAAGTTTTTGAACTGCTAAAAAGTGGGTGACTAAACTGAATACTTGGATTACCATTTATCACAAAGGGTTGTAGCCTAGTGGTATCTCTTCTACCTTCCAAAGTGGAAGGGTGAGGGATCAATTCTCATTTGAGACAAAATGGGTGTGCGAATTACTTGCGAAGGTTATTTATTATTATTATTTTTTTTTAAAAAAAGAGAAAGAAAGAAAGAGAGAAATTGAATACTTGGATTTATCTAACTTGATTGGCTTTTATATATTGTTGGCCACTAATAGTAAATGCCTTGCATAACGTGCTTTTATTCTTGTGGTATTAGCTACTTTATTCTTCTTCTTCTTCTTTCCATTTAAATATTTATTTGTAATCAAAATTACAGGGTACTTCTAGGCCTGCACACTATCATGTCTTGCTTGATGAGATTGGTTTTTCTCCCGATGAACTGCAGAATCTTATCCACTCACTATCATACGTGTAAGCTCTCAAGCTGCCATATTCCTCTCATGTGTGTGTCTAATGTTTTAGCCTGGTCAAAAAGGCATTAATCTCGTGATTTTTGGCCCATTTCAGGTACCAAAGGAGCACTAGTGCTGTTTCAATAGGTATATTCACCAACTTTATTAAATTCTCACCTTTAAAAAAAAAGAGGAAAAAAATAGATATTGAATAAAAGGTAGAAATTTAAGCTGGTTGGTTAGATGGTAATTCTCTATCTCACTGTTTTTTCCTTCTCCAGTGGCACCAGTCTGTTATGCCCATCTAGCAGCTCAACAGATGGGCCAATTTATGAAATTTGAGGACTTGTCTGAAACTTCTTCGGGACAGAAAAGCCTCACGTCTGTAGGGAGTGCACTTGTTCCTGCACTGCCCAGGTTGCATGAGGATGTAGCGGGTTCTATGTTCTTTTGTTAAGGTGGTGAAAACTCTTCTAAATGTACATGCTGCTATTTGATTGGTTTTGTCAAATATGTAAATACTGGGGAGGTGGTATAGGGATGCATAGAGGCAACCCCATCATGACGGGGTTGAGAAATAGGTACTCATGCAAGAGCAACTTTTAGTTTAATTTTGGACAGGTTTGACATTCACATGATGTTGATGATCAGGGCTAGTAATTTTTGTTGATTTACAATTCAGCTAGTTGCTCAGTCCTAATTTTGAGCTGGGTTTTTTTATTTATTTATTATTATTTTTTTTTGGTCTAGATGTTACATTTACCAGGAATAGCTATTTAAGCACTGGAAGATTTTGGTATCTTGTTTGGGATTATATATATATATATATATATATATATATATATATATATATATATTACCTTTATGTCATTTTTTGTCTGTTGAATATTGATGCCTTTTTTTTTTAATCGTAATGTTCACATTTTTTTTCTCTGCAAGTATAGTATTCACATTTTGTGGAACTACAATGTGCTAAATGAACTTATTTTTGCAGCTTCCAGTTAATCTGCAAACCTATTGTGTGAATTGCATTAAACTCTTAATTATAACTCCATTTTTTGTGATATTGCTCATCTTTTTTCTCGTAAGATATGCATATTTTCAGAATGTCCTATAATTCGAGTTTTGCTAAATGTTCCGCCAATTGTGCTTTTCTTTCTGTTGCGTCTTCTCTCCTGAATTTTCCACAACTCATGCACATCATAATGGTTGGAACGAATATATTTTTACAGAAAATACCTAATCTGTGCATTGAAGCATTTTTATAAACTACTCTCTTCCGCCAATTTGCTTTATCTAATTCCAACAATGTTAATGCAATTTTGATGTTAACTATTTTGCTATTTTTTGTTTTTGGGGACAAATTACTAACTGTTCTATTTCAAGCCGTTCATAATGCGAGTCATAATATGATAATGTCATTTTGCTGTTCATAATTGATGTTATTTTGGATCCCCCTTTTGTGGTTTTCTTTTCTTATACGAGGAATATTGATTTGGGTGATAGACAAAGAGGTCGACCAAAACTAAAAAAAAAGAGAATTCATGTGACCAAGGCAAGAGGCAAAGAATGATGATGATGAGTCGGAGTAAGATGACAAAGAACGATAATGATGATTTGAGACAAGAATGATGAAGATGATGAGTCGGGGTAAGATGACAAAGAACGATAATGATGATTCAAAACAAGAACAATAAAGATGATTCGTGGTTCTTCTGTTATGGTCGTGGTGCCCGATCATTGCCTAACATTTTGAAGTTCACTTGTAATACCGAGGATCCTGTTCATCAAATTAATTTGTTTGTGTGCATACTAATATTAACAATTTTTCTAGTGACTGTCCGAAAATTAGTCCTATGTGAATGTGGTCCCAAGTTTGGTGAATTTGTCTGAAGGAGAACTTAGGGGATTGTTTGGTTTGTCACTTATAAAATTGTTTTCTATTTGGTTCGATTTTTTTTAAATTTATTTATAAAATGTTTGTACATAATTTTATAACAAATCATTTTCTATTTTTTTAATTTAATGAGAACTTTTTTAAAGTTACAAACCAAGCAAGCGAAAGGTTTTTTAAAATTCATAGTCGCCTAACTTTTGTATTTTCTTTTAAAGTTTTATCTCTAATTCTGACCGCCTTATGTATATACACACACTCGCACATAATTCACATTTTCCACTCTCTTTAAACAATTTTCTTTAAATCATCATGTAAAATTAATTCACATTTTGCTCTCACAATTCTATAGTGGAGTTGCTAAAAAGGGCAAAAAGTATTCTAGAGGGATTGTTAAAATGTTTAATAGCTAAGTTTGAAGTGTTAATTATTAATTGTTAACATCATTTTAACATCTATTTGAATTGTTAGAATTCAATGTTAGAGGGAAAATGGAAGTCTCTCTCGTACTTAAAATTTCATCACTTTTTTAGTGTAATTTATTCAATTTAAATGATATTAATATTGCATTACCAATTAGATTTAATTAATTAATTATTTGAATTACTAGAGTGATGCTACATAAAAGTATAAAACACAAAGAACATAAGCGATATTTCAGAAATGTTTTTGTTTTTGTTTTTTTAATCATATTTTACCCTTTTCTTTCTACTCACCCCTGGTTTGTTTTACTGTCTGCTCCAAAACTCTTCGTCCAGCAACAAAACAATTCCTTTCAGAAACCCTAATTTCACTGACCGGACATGGCTTCCTCCAAAGAACGCGATAACTTCGTCTTTGTCGCCAAGCTTGCCGAACAGGCTGAGCGTAATCTATTACAAGTTCCAATGCTCTGCTCTACTTTTTGTTTGTCATCTAATCAACTCCACAATTTCAGTCTCTGCCGACCTTTAAACTAAACCCTAGCTTTCTTTCTCTGCTCTCACCTGTCATAATCAAATATTCGAATATTTTGAAACAAACAAACAACCAGCTAAACAACGAAAGTAGCAGTAATGGAGAGAATTTCTGCGGCTTGTGCCATGGATTGGAGTATTGAGCTTGATAAGGGACTTCGATCAAAAGTCCCCGGTAAGCAATTCTAAATATCCTCCTACACTTTGTACAATTTCCATTTCAAGCTGATTTTTAATTTATTATTATACCTTCTAGTTTTCAACTTCTTTTCAAATTAAAATTCCATTAAAAAAAAAAAAAAAAAATTATAGCAGTCCCATACATTATGCATCCTTATTAATAATTCCATTAATTTATTAGAATATGTTGATTGAGATGCATAATGAAAATTCACTGAATTGTTCTCATTAGGAATTTACTACATTAGTACTTCTTTTGCATCTCTCTCTCTCTCTCTCTCTCTCTATATATATATATATATATATATATATATATATATGTATGTATGTATGTATATGTATACATCTAAAATGTATGTATGTATGTATATGTATCCATCTAAAAATGCTACTACTTGGACTACTAAAGATTTTATAATTTCTCAGGTCAATCTGTTAAAGCCATACTACAGATTGGGCCACGGCTCGAGCAGTGGAGTAGAGAGCCAGAACTTACTATCGCAGAATATAAATTTTTTGGCTTAGTCCCCGGGGAGGATAGGCTGTTTGCGAACACCATCCTCCTTCGGCTTGCAGACGCTTTTAGCTCCAGTGACAAACATACCAAGCTTTCTGTTGTAAGGATCTTCTTATCAGAACTGAGGCACCGTAGGAAAACAAGTAAACGAAATCACTATAAAATTCTGTCAAAACCTGCATTGGAAAACTACTTAGAACTGCTGAGAAAAGTAAAATTGGTTTTTGAAACTGGGGATGTTGAATCAAGGACATTGGCTTTGGTTCTCTTTGGTTGCTGGGCTGCTTTTGCGAAAGACAGTGCTGAAATAAGATACCTTATCCTTGCGAGTTTGGTCTCATGTCATGGTCTAGAGGTGAGCTCAGCATCCCTGGCTGGAATTCTTCTGCAAGTCAGTTGTGATTTATTGTCTACATTTTGATATCGTCATTGACTTTGTTTATCCTAATCATGTCTATTTATTTATTTATAAAAATATTCTCTAAATGCTTATCTGTGTTCGTGTTATTGTGAACATTGCTCATGCTCCCAAAAAGTGACATTTTTTTCCCTGGAACAAATTGTCACACGTTATGTTTGCATATGAATATATATGATCTTGTATGAAGATATTATGGTCTTTGTCCTGCAGAAAAACTGCTATGAGATTACTCCAGTTTATCAGTTTGACCTTTTTTTGTGTTAGACATCTGCACTAGATCCACCAAAGAGTGAATTCCCGTGTATTGCATATCTGGCACACTACAGAACTTCTAAGCTGCAGTAGGAGATTGTCTGTAATAACCATGGGCGGGGTTCTAGGTTACTATTGACATCAGTTGGCCCAATTGAAAATTTGAAACTGTAATGGATTCTGAATTTCAATTTCTAATGATTCTGAATTTCAAATTTTATAATGGACCCTCAAAACTCTTAAAAATTAAATGATGTGCATCAACCTGAGGTATCAAAAGGTGGTGAAAAAGCTTTTCATTGTATAAAATAATTTTAAAAGTCAATTTGAAGATGCTGATATATTCCTTTAAAGTGACCAATTTACTATGCCTTCTATTTTTTGTTGGAGTAAAATAAAAAATAAAAAATAAAAAAAGATAGAAATGAGGAAAAAGAGGGAAGGAGATAGCTATTTGTTGTGAAATGGAGTTTATTGCTTCAACAGTGTTAGAAGAAAGAGATAGAATTCTGAAATTCTAATTTTTAAGTTTTGTTCAATTAATTGATTTTTATGCAAAAAAACGTTAAACATTTATGGAATTGACTGTCTATTTTTAAATTGTATATGTTTAGCTATTTGATTGCCATAATATATTTTTCTTTTATTTTTTATGTTTAGTATTAGTGCTTCCTTTGTCATCTATCATTATTGCCTTTATCCCATATGAATGGAGTTGGCGACATGAATTCTCCCTCTTTTATTTATTTATTTATTTATTTATTTTTATTATTATTTATTTTTTATTATAAGTCATGTCTCCTATTATATTCAATTTGGTAAAATCATTTCTAATTACTTCCTCTCATGTGAGTTTTGGTCGGCCTCTTTTTCTTGTACAGTCTACGCAAACTAAACTTCTTTCTCACTCTTGCATCTATGAGTCTACGTTGTAAATGACTATATCACCTAAATCTACTCTTATTTTATCGCTAATAGGTGTCACTCCTAGTTTTCCCTTTACGTATTAATTATTAATCGTCACTCCTAGTTTCCCCCTCACATGTTGATTATTAATCCTATCTTTTTTAGTCACTCCTATAATCCATCTTAATATTTTTATTTCAGCTATATGAATGCGTTGCTCTTGTTTATTTTTGACGCCTAACATTGTGTTCCAATTAGTGCGTCAGTGCTTCTTTTGTGATTGATTAAAATTGACTTAATATCACCTATGGGCCATTAGCCCAATGGTATAACCTATCCTCCCTCAAGGGGGAGGTGAGGGGTTTGAGCCACATAATGGGCAATTTTTGAGATGTTTGTGTGAGTACTTTTTTTTTTTAACCTTATGTGTGTGGGTGAGTACATTTTTTTTTTTTTTTTTTCGCTTATGTGCTTGTGAGTGCTTACCTAACCAAAAAAAAAAAAGAATGATTCAATATCATTATTCTTTTGTAGAGATAATGGAATTTCAACCTAGAGTCTGCTCTAGTTTAGCCCCAAGATATTACTAGGATTTAGGATACACATTGCAAAATTGTTAGGGTTTTTCACTGATTTATGTAATTTATCATACTGTATCTAAGTTTCCCTCATCTTATTCACAATTATGACAATTTCACTTGGTCAGTTTTATTTGAAACAAAATGTTGTGCAACCTATTGTAATGAAGTTGATCTTTGTAATGTTGCAAAATTTATAATAACTGACCTGGCACCGCTCCTGATAGTGGATTGTAGGTCATACCATAGCCCGCCAACCGTACCACTGGCCTAAGGTTACTTGCGTGCATCATCACATCCCCTCCAGCACCCCCGGAGCTCTAGCTGCCCGCTTCGCTTCCTTCCTATGCTGGAGCACTTACGGTCTGCTTCACGTTAGGCCGAGTGGACGTGGGGTTGCTGCTGATATGGGCTTTTTTGGTTTTTGGCTTTCTGACTTGATTTAGGCAGATTTCTTGGGGTGCTTGCGTTTATTTTGTACTTTTTACTTTTTGGAATTTATTCTTTCTATTTTCTTTATTGAAAATGAATATGGAATTGGGAACCCATGAAAGCAAGCTTCCACTGAAAATCATTGTCCCGACACAAACTTGTTGGTACCATAAATTTCTTAATGGGTACGTGCTGACTATGGTAATATAATTTTAATTCTCCTTATGTTATTATTCTTTTTTTTTTAGTTCTTATTCACTGGGTGTGGACATAGAGGTGGATACCTCATTGGTAATGTAATGAGGACTCGATTTATATAAATTAGTCGATACCTCATGGTTGGCTTGTTCGTCATTTATTTTATGATTTCATGCATAACTAAAGTCAAACGAAGCCTTGTTCCCACTGTTTGATCAACTATGAGTCTTGTTTCGTTATTTTACTTTATATTTGTAATAACTTTAGTCAATCCACACTTTGTCATGGCTTTCTAAATATTCCAACTCAAGGTAACTTTGGTCTTCCCTCCCTCAAGCATTACCCTCAATGTGGATAATTCAAAGCTTGAAAACTTCAAAATTTTAATTATTTTTTTTAATCTTATTTAAGTTTTCAAAGAATTCCCTATTTTTCAACTGTTCTCAAACATATGGTTTGCTGCCAGCTGTTCTGTAGTCAACCAATTATGTAGACATTTGACTGGAATTGATCTGCAACCCTTTGCAGGTAAAGGCATCTCTATTTGCCGCAGGATGCTTTTGTGAGTTGTCAGATGACTTTGCTTCTGTTCTGTTGGAGATGCTGCTTAATATTCTGACATCATCTGAAACACTACCAGCTGTTAGGTTAGCAGGAGTGCGAGCATTCGCAAAAATTGGGTGCTCATCTTCACTTGCAAGTAGTGCTTACAAGGTTCTACATTTCTTTTTCCATATTCCATATCCTGATAAACATGCATAGGTGTTCTACATTTCTGGTGACCATAGGATGCCACAACCATTTTTAACAACATAGGCATGACCCTTGCCAGTTGCCATAAAGGTCATTTAGAGCAATGATGCAAATTTCCTGTTATACTATTATAATTTTCCGTAACAAATGATATGCTCATTTACATGCATAGGATGGAATGGGTTGGGTTTTCATTAACTCTTACATGTTATGTGCCTCATCAGCACTAACTAATGAATGCTTATGTCCCTCTAAATCTTTAGTACTGTGATGCAGTTATATGCATGTGAAAAACAACTCTATTTTTTCTTCACAAAATCATGATCACGAAATGTTTGTATTTTGTGAATCAATGACATTTTGGCCTTTAATCTCTTCTATTTATGGTTTTGTGATATCATTAAATGCTTGACAACTAGCGTAGGAATGACCTCTGCAGAATAATGTTCTAAACAAATTGTTCTTTGGCAGTTTAATTAGTGCAGGATGAACACATAGATGGAATGGTTCGCTTATGCATATTGCACCTTTATATTATAGGGCAAGATTGTGTAGAAGTTCATTAATGTATTTGAAAAATATTGACTTAAGCTCTGTCCAGATTGTTGGCTGGTGAAATATAAATTACATTGTGTAAATGACATATGGAAGCACATCATATCTAAAAACTATTAACGTGCTTTATATGTTGGGAATGTTTTTTGTTTTTCCCCTTAGCCAAAATAGATTGATTTCCTACCACACGATGTGAGCTACAACTTCAATGGATGAAACAAATTTTAACAACATCAGTGAACATAAAATTGTCCTGTAACCAGATAAAACAAACATAGACCCCCTGAGGGAGCATTCGAAATTCGAATCAGCCAATCAACTCAGCTGAGTGAATCAGCGAGTCTCGCAATCTGAAGCAACAAACCACTCGTGCATATTGATGGGATGTCTTTCCTAGAGTAATATACTAAAAACAGCATTAGCAGTATTGGTCTTGCTGTCAATGAGGGGTGCTAAGAAGGTAGACGAGGCAGAGAACCCATCTCCAGCATTATTTATAGTGATGGTCCAAAATTCCAAATGATGCACATATAGTTATATACTTGTATAGATGCGTGTATATGTGCATAGAAACTTATGTACCTACATAGTACAGTTTATATTGCCACGCTCACAATTAGTTTATTGCAGGCAGGTCTAAAGCTAGTATTAGATTCTTCAGAAGAGGATTTCTTGGTTGCAATGCTGATTTCACTTTCAAAAATTGCTTCCAAATCGACACCCTTGATTTCGGGACAGGTATGCATCCCAAGCATCCATGAATTTTTGGCATGCATATTCTGGATATTTCTTCAACATGGAAAGTGTCCATCCTAGCAGCTTCTGTAAAGCAGCTAAACAAGCATCCAATTGCTCTTTCTTCTTTTGATAATGAAAAAAGGAAAGAAAAAAAAAAAAAAAAATTCATTGGCTTCATTGCGTAATTTTCAAGATATGGTAATTTATTAGGCTGAAGTGGTAATCAATATTCTACGAGTGGTGCGTTGAAATGTCTTGGTTGAATGTGCAATATTGACTGCATACTTCAGCCTTTCAACGAATAAAAATATGTGGGTTTGTATGGAACAGGTTCAACAGAATATCTTTTTCTTTTTCTTTTTCTCATTCTATCTATTCCCCTTTCTGTGCAGCATGGATATGGATAAGGTATTTGGATTTGACAGTATATAGATAATAATATAACAAATTCTTAAGAAAGATGATATGGATATGGTGAGGATACGACATAAATTCGTACATTGTATGTGTGTTCATGTATATAAAATTAAAATATGTATCCGTTTATAAATTTAAGATAATAATTTTTTTCAAACTATATTATGACTAACGTACACTTAACAAAAACTTATGACAAATATATATATATATATATATATATATATATATATATATATATATATATATATTTTGGAACTATCAAATGTTTCATGTTTGTATTTTATAATATAAAAAATCCAAGAAAAAACTGAGAGTTGTATTGCATGGACATGGACTTTTGGGTTTGGACTAAATATATTTTCATTATTTCTTAATATTATTATCGAAGAAAGTCCAAATATTTGTAAGCACCCTTGCTATTCTTTATCTAACCTTCATCCTATCATGCTATAATGAAAATGTTGTATTTTAATGTTCAAAATTTGTCAGACAAGTGTCTTACTCTTACAGTATCTGCATGTTCGAGATAAAAAGAAAAGAAAAAATTCAAATTATGAATACGTCTTGGAAGTTTCATTATTTCATACATGTATTTGCAAGTACTCAAGGAGCATTGGTTATCGGCGTAAATACAATATGGATACGATTCTTTATAGAAGTATCTGTGTTGCATAGCAATTTGTAGAGTTTAAGTAGCACTAGGATATTTTTTTTAAAAAAAATTATTTATTAATTTTTGGCAAAAAAATGAGAAAATTGGAGTCAAAGATGGTTGGAATTCAGTGATGTACTACAATAATTGCTACTCTATTAAAACAAATGTTCAAGGATTATGTTGGTTTATTTTAAAGATTATTTTACATCATTATTTAATACTTTTAATAAATCTCTTGCTTGGCTGCAGGTGGACTTGCTTTTCTCATTTTTAAGCCAAGAGAAATCTTTGCGCCTGCAGGCTATATCATTGAGATGCCTTAATTTTATCTTAGTAAGAGGATTATGTCATTTCTCTGCTAGCGCCGATTACATCAATATATTGTTCAACATGCTAACTGAATCCAAATTTCCACCAGGCTTACAATGTGGAGCTCTACAAATTTTGCATAAGGTTGTTAGTTCGCTCATGTGGCTTAATGTGTTCTATTGGACTCTTAAACTAACTAATTTCTTAAATCGGGAATTTGCAGATCCTCTTATATAAATTCCCCATCGGGCCATGTGTGGACATGCTTGAATTTCCCAAGCTGTTGACAATCATTGAGAATGCATCCCAGTCTCCAATCATGGAAAAGAGGCTCTTAGCCATTCGTGTTCTAGTAGATATATCAGCAAAGCTTATGGGAAGAAAGGAAATGGCCTTAGAGGGAGTTGTGTCCACTCCTCTGGCATCCTTAGTGATCTCATGTGTCACAGACCGGATCACCTTGCTGGTGAATCCAGTGCTGGATCTTCATCAGTGTGACTCAGAAATGGAGCGAGAAAGTCAAAGCTTACTCAGCCTCCTCCTCCTTTTGGTTGAAGAACATCCAGATCTTGGTGGTTTGTTGCTGGACAAAATTTGCTTATTGTTTGAATATCTGGTGAATATCAATGACAGCATTATTGGCACCGGGTTACCAGAATTATCAGGTCATGAGATTGTAGAATTTGGGAAAAAAAATTGCACATTCATTATATCAAGGCTCCTGCTTCATATATCCAGAGTTGTGGTCGGTTGCCTTGATAATTTAAATGAAAATGGTGCCTTTACTAAGGTTCTTAGTATATTGAACCTTCTGGTCAAACATGTACACCAATGCAGCTTAATTGATTGCTACACACTCGCAGTCTACTCTCTTTTGATGCATTCTCATGTCACTTGCTATGAGATTGCTACACACAATTTATTTGCTTGCATGTCGGATGAGATAGTGGAAGGCAACAATCTTGCTAGAAACTTGTTTAAATCTCTTCATGATTATTCTGTTCGGCATGAAATTCTTACCCTTGATTGTGCAAAGAAGATGTTGACAGGGAAGGATAATTGGTCTGCTTACAAAGCTGCGAAATTTGCAGCATGTCAGGGAGCATGGTTCACAGCTGCTTTTATATTTGGGCATCTAACAACCGTAGTTCAATCTAATTCCTGTTATTGCTGGTTAAAATCCTTGGCTCAGTTTGCTCATTCTGAAAGGAGAGTACAGTTGCTTCTTTTTCCAAAACAAGGTTCCATTTTGAGAGATTGGTTAGAAACTAACAAAAACTTTGTCTTACCTTTCAAAGATGATTTAGGTGAAACAGGATGGGGTACTGCCTGGAAGATCAACTCTCCTATCTTCATTGAAAATCTTGACAAAGCTTGTGGCATTCTGCACTTGTCAGAGGAAACATTAGGAGTTACAATCCCATCAGGTTCCTCCTGTTTTCAGAGGTGGTTTTTAGCTCTTAGAGCAAAGGTTCTAGAAAGTGTGGTGGATATACTAAAACTTTTGGATACCATACCGTTTACACAGGAAAATACTAATGACAACAGACGAGTAGAGGGAAGTATTATTACTAAGTGCCCGGGACTTTTGGAAAGGGTTGCCTTCTTGGTGCGTCCTCTCACTCAAATATCTTTTCGGTTGAAGAGGCTAGCACAAGAATTTGATCTAATTGCCACATCTTTCATTGGCATAGATAACAGAAGTTTGAAAGTAATTTCAGCACTTGCACTAAGTTGTTCGCTGTTGGCCTTCAGTACTGGATTTGCTCCTTTAATCCCAAACTTGCATGCTGAAAATCTTATAATTTGCAGTTTGGAGAACTCGGAGGATTGTTTACATGCTACGCTAATACAAGATCTACTTCAGCGGTTGTGGCAAAGAGACTGTGAAACCAGTTCAAAGCTCAGTTTGCTTTTGAAGGTTTATGGACATCCTAAGAGCTGTTTTCTCCCTCGGTCCAAAAATCAAATGTTGACTGGTTATGAAGCAAGAAGCATTCTTACAGTTTGTAGCGATGCTGTTACAAAGGTCGTTGGCCTGCAAAACGAGGCAAACAGAGCAAACGATGATGAAATTCTATTCCGACTGACTTGTAACGGTTTGCAACTTCTGTTGGACATAGTTACAAAATGGATGCACATACCTTTCCGGACTCCATGTCACTTCTTTCGAATAAGGTATATTGGATATTCTTTCTACTAAAATCTTCGTAGTCCTATCATAGTTATATGTATCATTGAAGGTCTTTCTAATTGCCATTTCAACTATAAGAGGATGAATAACTAAATGGTAGAACTTTTGTGATGCTCTTAATGTTTTGGCTCCCATCTGCATGTTGCCCGTTGTTAAGAACAAATGGTAAATTTTTTCTGGTAGATATTATTTTTGTGGCGTGGCAAGGAGTTTCAGCAATTTACACAATGAATTCTAGTACCATTTGAAATGTCATTGACCTTTTAAATGCCTCCACATTCCTGACTTTAGGCTACTAACATTTGTCTTTTAGATTCCTGTCCACGTCTTACAATCGCTATCTATGAGTTTCTACTTGACAATTTTTCACTTTGAATTTTGGTTTATCCTAGATGTATCATTTCGAACTATTCATTTCTAAATGTTTGGGGCTAAAACTAGAGGACAACTGACATTGGGTTCAAGTCATCAATTTGTGAGGTGTTCAAATATGATACAAGGCTTTCCTTCTGTGAACAAACCTTTGTTTTTAAATTGAAACTACATGCATAATTTATGCTATTGAAAGCACCTGCTGGAGATTTTCGAGAAATAAACAATTACACGGTAGCCTAAACAGTAAATTCTATGAAATGTAAAGAATTTGCATTAATTTGTCCTCAACGTGGTTATGTTATGGCTTATGCAGTTGACTACTGATTGAAATTAAAGATTACATCTAATAATCAACCACCAAATTTAGCCATATTACTTATCAAAAAATTAAATGGAAAAGTTCCAACTGCTATGATGATCAGGGATTCCACATTTACAGTTCAATTATATTTCAAGAGTCAGCCTCTTGGTTGGTGGCAACAGATGTTGGTCCTGTTGCTCAATCATGTACAATGACACCTTATGTAATTCCTTTTATGGCATATTTCATGAATGGATTATTTTTGTATGAGTGTATTTGTATGGCGTCTTAATGGTGCTCATATTTAATATCTGTCTATTACAAAGCTGATATTATTAACTTTCATGAATGTCAAACATCTTTTTGATACAGCTTCTTCCATTCTATTTTTATAGCCCTTTCCCTGTTTGCTTGTTCATTGGCCTCTAATATATTCTTTTTTACCTCTCTCTCTCCTGTTTTGTTTGGTTTGGTTCATTGTGCTTCTCTCTATTTTTTTAAAGGGCCACTATAGTTCATTACACTTCATTATTCAGTTCCAAATTAGGTCAAGCCCCTAAAACCAGTTTTATTAACAAATGTTGAAAATCTGATGAAAAGTGGCTACATCTCTAGAAAGGCTTAAAAATGGCAGTAGACTTTGGTTGATGATTTGCAATCGTCTTGCACATTGGGGCCTAGGTTTTTCTTATCTTGTAAACAAGGTCACAAATGTTAACCACCTAAACTGCAAACCCCACATACAATAATACTTATGATCTCTGGAGGAACTTGTGGTTCTGTTTTGCCACTCTATTAAGTACTCTTTTTAACATTTGTAATTGATATCATGTTTCAGGCCTTGTATTTCTTCTGAGCTCTTTGCCTTAAGCGGAGATGATAAAAGTTCAGATGGGATATCGGTGTTGCCAGGCTTCCACCTGTCACTAAATCTTTGTCTTCAACTTAAGAACGTACCACCAGGTCTCCCGGTTCAGCTGACCAAGTTGTACTGCATCCTTTATTGTCGAAGTGGACAAGAGAAGGGGCAAAAGGGATCGGGTTTTCAAGATTGGGGAGCTGATGACATGGTAGATTTGAATGAAAAATTATTGCAATATGTGACCGGGGAAACCAGAACGACTAAAGGTGTGCTGAATAGAGATAATGCTGGTGACAGTGGGGTTGTGGAAGCATGTGTATGTTTTGAACCTAATGAGAGAGGACAAGGGTTCTCTACTTGCTTGCTTGATGTTTCTGCTTTCCATGTGGGTTCTTACAGAATTAAATGGCATAGTTGTTGTATAGATAGTAAGGGTTCTTATTGGAGCCTCCTGCCGTCAAATGCTGGTCCTGTATTTACTGTAAAAAAGTCATCATTGGCTAGATGATTAGGGCTTCGTTTATTTTTACTTTGTCGGTGTTTTGCAAAGGTTTACGTGGCATTTTGCAAAGGTTTATGTCGAGGTTGAGGTCTAGATCATCGTGCAGGGCATGTAAAATAATTTGTTGAAAATTTATGGATAAATTATTTTTGTTAAATTTTAATATTTTTTTATTCATAAATATTTTAAGGCAACCAAACAACAGAAATTTAAAAAAAATTTGAAAAATATTTTACGTTTAAACAAATGGAACCTATATGTGCACTCTACATAACCTGCAGTTATAACTAGAAAATAGAGAAAAAAGCTCGTGCTTGTGTGTGTGTGTGAGAGAGAAAGAGAGAGAGAGAGAGAGAGTGTGTTCTTATATAACTATTTTGGACCACCTATACTATGATGTTTTGCCTCTTTAACTCGATCCAACTCGCATCTGGACAACAATGCCATCAAATATATGAACATTCAGACGAAAGTACTCTCAATTGTCCAACCCCAACGGTGCACTTGGGATCCTCTGGATGAAGACATGGTCTCTCTGGATCCCATTGAATTTCATTCGGATGAGGAGCCTTATAAAGATCGTATCGATTCTTATCAAATAAAAATAGGGTTAACTGAGGCTGTTCAAACAGGCATCGGCCAACTAAACGGTATTCCCATAGCAATTGGGGTTATGGATTTTCAGTTTATGGGGGGTAGTATGGGATCCGTAGTTGGGGAGAAAATTACCCGTTGTCCAACCCCAACGGTGCAATCTCTGAGTGTGAACATGAAGACCAGGAATTTTCTTATTAAATATGAAACCGTGGCAGTGACGAAAAGCTCTCACAACTTGTGCCATTTTAACAGAGTAATTTAGTATAAACAGAAGGCTCAAGACATCCACAACTATAATATATACCATATTATGTCTGTATGTGGATTTCTTCTACTATAAAAACAGGAAGATTGATGGTCCTCATAGGTGGAACAAAAACAGAACCATATATCATTAAATGGCAAACAAACTAATTCTTGTAGTTCTGTTCTTTCTCTCAGCAGCCGAAGCAAGAAAAAGACTATACTCAGTAAATGGTATTTGCAAATCAATGGTGGAGACACAAGGCTATGATTGCGAAGAGCATACAGTAAAATAATCAACACCATGTACCTTTTAGTTCACAAATTACTTGAATCATGAGATTTATGGATTGATTATGTGATTTTGATATGTTACAGGTAACAACACAAGATGGTTATATTCTTAGCATGCAGAGGATTCCAGTAGGAAGGTCCAGCAAGAAACCAGACAAGCCACCTGTTCTTCTACAACATGGGCTCTTGATGGTGAGTGCTTATATATTGTGGTCTGCAACATCTATTTCATCATATTTGCTGATATTTTAGCATTATTTGGATTGATAAACAAATACAGAAGTTATGGTGTTATTGCAGGATGGGATAACATGGCTATTGAATTCTCCACAAGAGTCTTTAGCATTCATCTTGGCCGATAATGGATTCGATGTTTGGCTAGCCAACAGCCGTGGGACAAATTATAGCCGTGGACATACTTCACTCAGTCCCAATGATCCGGTTTTCTTCATATTATGGACTTGTCTTTAGCTTCCATTCTGCGATGAATCTTGTGTTTTTTTTTTTTTTTTTTTCCTAATTTTCATATGCATTTATACTTTGTAGGCTTATTGGGATTGGTCATGGGATGAACTAGTCGCTTATGATCTACCGTCTTCATTCCAGTATGTTCATGATCAGACAGGTCAGAAACTGCACTATGTTGGCCATTCCTTGGTAAATATCTGCATATTTTTCAATTAAAATAACCTAAATTCTATGCTTTTGTTTGACTCAAAAAATGAGATTGATTCTAAAAACTGATTTTGAATGTGATGATACTTGATAGGGAACATTGATTGCTTTTGCTGCATTTTCCCAAGAGAAGCTGCTAAACATGTTAAGAGCAGCTGCCTTGCTTAGCCCTATTGCTTATCTAGGTCAGGTGCCGTCACCTCTTGCAAGAGGTGCTGCTGAAGCTTTTGTGGCTGAAGTAAATAATAAAACTCACCACTTGTATTTCAGAATTCAAATTTTTTTTTTTTAAATGGAAGGCTAATAATCTTTCTTCATCTCTTCTTCACAGGACTTGTACTGGTTGGGTCTCAATGAATTTGCTCCCAGAGGGTGAGAATATAATACTACTACAGTATTTTAACTTCACTCCTATAAACACACTAGAAAAGTTTGGTCTTTTACCTATCTTTCCTTCAAAAAATGAAAGAAAATTGCAAGCCAAACAATCCAAAAAGAACCAAATCAGGTTTAGTTATTATAGTAACCCTTCTAGTTCACTTGAAACTTCAAAGTCTCACAATAATGCATTAATTTTTTATTTTATTTATTTTATTTTTTTTTAACTACGTTATATATATAACAAAAAATTATATAAACTGCTGTTCTTCTCGGGTGAACAGGGAGGCTGTCGCGAAACTTCTGGAAGATATCTGCAATAAACCGAACAATAATTGCACTGACCTAATTACTTCTTTAACAGGTAGTATTAGCCTTCCTGGCCTAATCATTAGCATCTTGAATTGACAATGTCAACTTTCGTTACTGACGAGTTTGTATAATTGCTGAAATAGGCCAGAATTGCTGCCTGAATTCTTCTAGAACAGATGTTTTTCTCGATCATGAACCTCAGTCAACAGCAACAAAGAACATGGTCCATCTAGCTCAGAGTAAGCTGCTTTTAAGTTTGTATGTACTGAAAGTAAAGAGTCTTGCGTGACATTTTATCTGAAATGAAAGTCCATTTCATCGATAGACTTTCTTTTAATGGCGTTATATCGTGGTGCGACAGTGATTAGAGGAGGGAGCATAGCAATGTATAATTATGGGAGTGAAGATGAGAACAACAAACACTATGGACAGCCGACTCCTCCTTTGTACAACATGTCAAGCATCCCCAATGACCTTCCTCTCTTCCTCAGCTACGGAGGGCAGGACTGGCTTTCGGATGTGAATGATGTGCAGACACTGCTGCTAGGCAGTCTCAAAGACCATGATGCTGATAAGCTCGTGGTACAATTTAGGGAGGACTATGCACACGCCGATTTTGTGATGGCTGTAAATGCCAATCAAGTTGTGTATGATCCTCTCATGGCCTTCTTCAACCTACAGTAATCAAGCGAGCTCGTGAATATGAATATATCTATACATATTCAAGCGATCTTGAAATTATTTTTGATGTTACAGTGCTAGCTTCTGTGCTACTCCGCTCAACAGTGCTCGACAGTGAACTTGCGGCTATCTCATTTGACGAGATAGCCAAATGGATCATCCTAAATGGACTTGAATTTGTGTGTGTGTGTATATACATATATACCTCAGTTATATATATTAACCAAGGTAAAAGCTCATTTCAACCCAACCCAATCCAATGCAACGGCTACAACATCTTCAAATTTATAATGACCATCTTTAACTTGACAAAAAAAACCTCTCTCGGAGAACCCATCATTGACTTCTAAACCAATCTTACCATAAATGTTCCAATCCATTTGTACATTAACATAGCCAAAGAATACAAAGACCACCGTTGTCTTCTAATTACACGAGTTCCCAAGACATTTCAACACTCTACAACATTAACCAACCAATGTTGCGTTCAAACGTACCGAATTGGTGGCTTGAATTTGAATTTGGTACCATGAAATTGAAAGAAATTCAGCTGAAACTTCAAAGTGAATTTCCAAAGCACCTAATGATCATGTCACATACACTGAAAGACCAACGATGTTGTAGATATATAAGATACAAAAAACAAGGAGAGCTTGCCAGAAACAGTTTCCATCAAGTGATGCGGAGCTTTAATAGTTCTAAAATGTTGCAAGTAAGGCACTTCGAAAAGTTCAACATTTAAATTAAGGTCTCGTGTTAGTGTCATTGCACAAAGATAATGTTAATCTCTCCAAACAAGATTTCCGATAACTCTCACATACTGATAAGAGAACCAAACTGGAGCAGCCATGTGATGTTTATGTTCCAGCTGAGTTCTCGTGTAGCAGCACGTACTCCCGGCTGCAAAAAAACCAAATATAGGAACAATTATATAATACTTCAAATGAGAAAAAAGGAATGCATTGCTAAGACAGTTAATGAGCAGCGCTACAGTAAAATTTTACTGTCAGGGCAAAATCCAATGTTTCAAATGACGAGGAGCTAAAGGAATTTTATAATGAAGCATTTTCAAATTTAGAAGGGAAAGGCATGAAAGCGGAAAAAAATAAAAAAGGCTGAGTGCAATCACACAATCCTGACAGGTAACACATACGGATATGGAGTAACAATAAAGTTAACCATCAAGAAGAGAGAGAAACAACAGCCACATATTAAGTGAAATAGGATTGATACCGTAGGATCAACAAAAGAGAAAACAGAGAATGGGGAAGGGACAAACCCTATAACTTAAACCACCGGAAACCCTCTGGGAAGTAACCAAGCTTTGCAGCTTATGATGAAAAAGAAAAATTATGAAAATACAATAAACTAGAATATCAGAAGCAATCAAACAAAATGAAACAAATCAGAGAAAAATAAAAAAACACAATTTACCAAAAAAAAAAATATTAAAAGAACTTGAGGACAATAACTATATATTGAGCATGGGGGCATAGGTCCTTCCATCAAACTGCAGTGTCAACATGGGCACAAACCTTTTCAGTTCCACTAAATCAACACATAATGTCAAGCTGAAGCCTCCCACAAGCCAATAGCAACTAGATAATATTGTCATAGGTCTCGCTACGTATCCTTCGTAAGAATATATAGGGTATCAACCTCCGGAGAGATGGTTAAATATATATAGACAAGCGGTATAAACAAAAACATCATCTCTTCAGTGAAAAACAGCTTATAATGTCAATAATTCTTTCACACATTCCACCCCTAGCCCAACAAAGATTGACCTCATCAGTGATCCAAGAATGAAATTCACCCATCCAAGCAGACAACCATTTTATATAAATGACACTAACCACTGAGGAACTTTGTAAATAGTTAGTTTATTTTGTAGAAATGGAATCCAATGGTTAAGCACGGGACCACGTTAAACTTGTACAACAAACTAACTCATACAGAGGTTGACCAGATAGGCAGACACTATATGTAATAATACTAATTCAACGAAATGAGAAAGAGATGAGCAGATTAAAGCTATCTGACAGTCGGTGAATGAGAGAAATAGAAACTACAATTTTTTATTTTTTATTTTTATTTTTATTTTTTTGACAAGGAAATAGGAATGGAGAGAGAACTTCAACTTGCTTTAGGGTTTTTTTTGACAGGTTTCGGAAAACCACAAAACTAAACAATGCCAAGTTAATGGCATAAGGTGACAGTGCCAAGTATTGCACGGATCAGATGGTTCTTGAAGCCCATGTTGCTCATACCCCCAGTGTTGCTACTACCCGCTTGGAGTGACCAGAGAGGTTGACAACAATTAGTTATAACCTTCAAGATTATAATGCACATGTCGCTCACATAGCTGAACTCAGTTCTCATGCTTGACAGCCAATTGCACCAAGCAATGGTGCCTTAAGGTATGGCTAACTCAATTAGCCAAACAAAAGTGAAGCTTGGCTTATAAAAAGCAGGGGCGGAAATTTTGGACCTGACCTGTGAACCAAACCTGAGCCCAGTTCAGATGGGTTCGAGTTAATACTATAAAATGCTTTTCTAACAGAAGGCCAACTGAACCCGCCTACAACTCACGCGGACCTAATCTCCACCTAAAACCAAGAGGCTAGAGGTAAGCAAAAGAACTAGCCATTTAAGATCTTAAGAATCAAACAAGGAGCCAAATTACCCACTAAAAGATTGGTTCCACTTACATGTGATGGATATGACTTATTGCAATCATAGATGCAAACTCGCATAAATTCTTACCAACTGAAATCATCACAAACTTACAACTTTTACAGGAAGGGTGACCTACTTGCCAACACACCAACACAGCAGCAACAAAGACATGGCAATAATAGGATAATTAAGAATAAAAATCATCAACTGAGAGTGTAGTGGTAAATTTTCAAATGACGAAGTGGAGAAACCAACTAAAATGGCGTGTGTTGAACTAAGAGTTCAACCATCAAATATATTTTACCATTGACTCAACATGTATCTTAGATATCAGGAAACAAATGAAATGAATTGTTTACAATTTTTTTCTTTCCATTGGCAAGAAACACACTCACACACCCACTTTTGCCCCTATGGGGACTTGAACCCTCGACCTTCCACTTTGGAAGGTGAGGAAGTACCATTAGGCCACAAGGCCCTTGGTAAATGAATTCTTTACATTAACATCCTAAAAAGAGAGAGAAAAATGGAAAAAACAAAAAGTTATGTGTAATGAGAAGAAATCAAATTACATGGAGAATTTGATATCCATAGATGAGATGAATTTTTTTCATGACAATGCCCAGAATGGAGTCACATTGTACAAATTGGAAAAACACTCTAACTTGACCAAGGTCATCACATTGGAAAAGATAGATATTATATGAAAAGCACGTGCTGAAAATTTATTAATGGCCTACCTACTATTACCAAACTTAATAGTGTCTTTTTCAAAAAGTTCATAATAGCGTTCAGGGTCAATGCGATTATCCTGCAAATGCAAAAGAAAATGTTAAATCAAATTACAGCAGAAACAATAAAATTTTAGCTTATTCATAGTACCCACCCAAACAAACAAAACCATAATAAAAGGAAACAACATTTTTTAAGAATTGCTTACATTAAGAAAAGTTCCATTTGTGCTTCCAAGATCCATTAAGTAAGGCCTATCATGGTAGACAGAATAAATAGATAAAATTTTAGTTAGATTTTATCCGCTCCCCATTTTGGGAAATGATCACAAATTAGCTTAGATCCTAGCTCTTACCTTACTTGCTTTGATAACATACCATCAGCTTGCTCCTTATCTACTTGCCTGACAACAAATAAAAAGTAATTAAAGAGCATGTTCATAACATCAATGACGACAAATTAGAACTTCAAGTAGTAAATCTACCTGTACTGAAGAACAGCATGTTGTTTGCTGCAAGATGGGTGATCCGTAGGGATGTCTGCTACCCTCCTCTCTCTCCCGAAAAGGTAACAGCTTTGACGATGTACATAAAGGGGCTCTGTATATTTTAAAAAAAAAATTAAACCAAATGCATAACTACTAACCTAATTATCAGAATTTATTCTTATAAACAAGTAATGATAAAGAAAGAAGAATGAAGCGGAGCTGCTCCTGTCATCATCATAAACGAAGGTTGTATAGTTATAAGTTAAACCTTCACATCAGTCACTATTATTAGATGCATAAACATAAATTAGAGGAGTTACTAGTACATCCGTGAATTTTACTAATGTCATTTTATATTTCATAATTTACACATTGGCTACTGCCTTCAAAAGCATTTAATTAAATATTCAAATTGCTACAGTTCATGAAAATAAGTAAATAACTAATAGGGTAAAGTGCAATTAACCCCCCTAAATTATTGGCATATTGCAACAAACCCCCTGAACTACAAAAAACCCCCCTAAACTATTTATTTGTTACAAGAAACCCCCTAAACTATTGATTTTTTGCATTCCGGCAGGTGACTTGGTCGGAAATATTAAAAGACAAAATTACCCTTATTTATAACTACGTAGTTTTGAGAATTATACCTTAACTTGATGACGTGGCAGTTGATCATTTCCTAAACCAATAAAAAAAGTGACAACAAAGCCAATCTTATCTTCAGCCAAAAAAAATAAAAAAACCACACCTGAACACAACCTTACGCCCTCTGTCACTGTTCATCTTCTTTAATTCATATATATATAAATTTGTTTTCTTTTAATCCCAATTTGTGTTCTTCTAATCTGAGACTATTTTCTCTGTTTCTTATCCTAACAAAATTAATGCTCACGCCAAACATGTTTTGCTTTGTTCTGTTTTGAAATTCTGTGCAATATTTTTACATCACCTAACATGTTTTCTATTTTTCTCAACAGCAAAGCAACACAATACAACTGCAAGTAAGATAGTAATAGCATATATAATAGAATAATCTATAATTATATGAACAAGTGGGTCGTAAGTTTTTGAGTCATGCGATCTTTCTTGGAGGTAGCTAGATTGCCTCGGTTGTTCCAAGGTGGATCTGCTAGATCTGCAAATCCGTATAGAGGCCCATCAATTTTCCTGGATGATGATTCGGTACGAAGAAGAAGAGAAGATCATCGATCGTGTCTGGTTGGGAAATTTGATAAGGAAGTAGGTGACGGGGCTCAGATTGCAGCTTGGGCCGAGCGTACTTGGAAGATCTCCGCAGGAGTGACGGTCTCAACTGTGCCGGATTCTTTGTTGCTTTTCTAGTTTCCCTCATCGACGGAAGCCTCTCGTGTTCTTAAAGGGGGTCGCCGTGACTGGGATACAGCATCTCTTTGTTTGGAGGCTTGGAGCTTTAGGGTTGGGTGCTCAGAAGTGTTGAAAGAGAAGGGGCTGAAGAAGGTGACGCTGTACGGTCTTCCTCTCCATCTCTGGTGTCATGCTTTGTTCGTGATAGTTGGTGATCTTTGTGGTGGGTCTATTTGGGTGGAAGCTGATGAAGCTTTGGACGCTGAAAGAGTCCGTATTACAGTCGCTGATGGTCGGGTTTGCCTTCCGTTTGTGTTCATTCACGTTGATCAGTTTTGCTATAAGGTGTTTATTTGGGAGGAGAAGCCTCCCGAGCATGTTCCAACGACAGATAGCTTGGAAGGGGGTGATGGTTCGCACTTGCTTAAGGAGAAAGAATGGTTGCGGTGGGAATCCATGGGGAAAAAAGGAATGGCAGAATTCCAGGAATGAAAAGAATGGAGGGACACACTTTGGATTTGTAATTCGGAGTGTTTTAAACGGATCTTCAATCAGAAGTGGAAGGAAGGGCTTCCTTTTTTTGCAGAATCGCCGTCGGAATGGTGGGCTTCGAATGATGCAGTGGGGCGGAGGTTTCACCGGATTTGGTCGTCGGACTTTTGTGCAGCAACGGGATCAATCAAGACGAAGAGGTGGTTTCCCCGCACATCAGGCGCGTGGGAGAGAGAGGTTTTCAGAGCGTCCACGTGGTTGGCGCTCAGGATTTGTCCGTTCCCAATGGAGACCAGCTGTCCCCACGGTCAATTCAAATTTCACTTCAAATTTGGCTTCCCATTCAGTTGGGCCTGTTGGAAGGTTTAGTGTCGAGGCTACTATCTCTTACAATGGTGGGCCTAAGTCTGTTGGGCCGCTAGTTGGGCCTGAAAGGCCTATTTCAGTCTCTAAGAGGCTGTTTCTTTGGGATCTGAATGTGATGTGCATGTTCCTTGTGCTGTGGTTGGTGGGCCGAGCGTCCAGTCTTCTAAAGAAGTTAATGTTGATGGGTCTGCGGGATTAAAAGGTGGGCCGAGTTGTGGATCTGGGCCGTTGTCTAACAGGTTTGAGCCCTTGCCTTCCTTGCGAGATGATAGAGTTCCTTGTGTTGCTGGGTCGATGAAAACGAGATCGAATGTTGATCGGCGAGTGAAGGTTCCGGTCCTGAGACGTCGGTTGCCAAAGAAAAAGGTGATCCATCCCGCTTTTCGTAAGAAATGGTCACGAAAGGATAAGCAAAAATGGGTGGTATCTTTGCAATCCAGTTTTGAATCGGGTATGTTGTCAGTTCCTTCTGGTTCTTCTCCTATTAAACCGTGTTTCTATTATTCTTCTTCTCCTTTTTTGGGGGAGTTGTCAATGTCTTTGGAACGGGTGAAGGGTGGGACAGCTTCTGCTTCGTTCTCTACAGAATCGGAGGGTGAGAGGGACTCCGTTCTTGTGGACAGACAGGATGGTGATTCTGGGTTTAGACATGGTTTCTCTCGGCGAGGTGAAGGTTCGTGCGAGGGAGTTACAGTTTGTGTTGGTCGGGATGTGAAGGTGAAGCTTGATGATGATACGGCTGCCTTTCTGTTGAAGGAGATACGTGACCATTTGGCGTCGAAAGGCTTTCTTGGTGATTCAGGAGGAGTTTTGACAGAGGAGGAGCCTGTTTCACAGTTTTGCTCGCATTCCTCTTCTGTTCTTGATGATTGGGAGGGAGCTGCAGGTTCTTCTCTGGATGGTGACTCGGGCATGATTCCATGGGAAGACTTGGAACAAGCAGTGAATTTGGCTGTTCCTTTGGCTGTTGTTCCGCCTGGGGGTAATTGGGTTTGCAACTCGAATGTTGTTGGAGTGAATGATCTTGAGGAGGAGTGGGTAAGGGAGAAGGGATTGGAAGTGGGTCCTTTGTTGGGGGTTTCTTTTGAGGGTAGAGTGGATGAGGCACTGTGTTTGTTTAATGATGTTCTCAATTCTCATTTTCAGGAAAAAGCAGGTGGTGAGATAAGGTTGCAGGAGGAGAGAGGGGAGACAGTGTTGCAAAGCCCCAATGATTTTATCACGTATGAAAGGAGAAATAAGGGGTCCAGATCAGGAGGGAGAGGTGGTGGAAGGAAGGGAGGGTTTGCTTTCTAAAGTGTTTCCCTATGAAGTTACAAATTCTTTCATGGAATGTCCGAGGTCTCAATGATCCGGTTAGGAGGAAAGTGGTGAAGTCGGTTATTCGTAAAGGTCGGGGTCATGTGGTATGTCTCCAAGAGACCAAACTTTCTTTGATGTCTGATAGGATTGTGAGGAGTCTTTGGGGTGGAAGATTTCTGGAGTGGATTGCTTTGGATGCTATTGGTTCCTCGGGGGGCATCTTGATCATGTGGGATAACAGAGAGGTGTCTAAAGTGGAGGCTCAGGTGGGGCGCTTCTCTGTTTCTTGTGTTCTTGCTTTGGTTGAGGATGGTTTTAATTGGGTCTTTTCGGGTGTTTATGGTCCTTCGGAGGATGGTGTGCACCACTTGCTTTGGGAGGAGTTGGGGGAGATTAGAAGTCGATGGTGTTTGCCTTGGTGTATTGGTGGGGACTTCAATGTGGTTCGCTCTCCTTTTGAGAGGTCAACGGGTGGTAGGTGGACGTCTGATATGGTGGCTTTCTTGGAGTTTATTGATGAATTCGGGTTGGTTGATTTGCCTTTGGTTGGAGGGCCGTTTACTTGGTCCAGTGGCCGTTCCCCTCCTACCCTTTCCCAGATTGACAGATTCCTTGTGTCGGGGGAGTGGGAGGAGAGGTTCTCGGAAGTTGTTCAAGCATCGTTGCCTCGTCCTATCTCTGACCATGTTCCGTTGTTGTTGGATTGTGGCGAGTTGTGCAGTAGACGATTTCCTTTCAGATTTGAGAATATGTGGTTGCGGGCTGAGGGCTTTCTTGAGCGGGTTCGTCTTTGGTGGGAGGGGTATGGTGTGGTGGGTACCCCTAGTCATCTGCTTGCAAGCAAATTGCGTCTTTTAAAGGAGAATCTTAAGACTTGGAATAAAAAGGTCTTTGGGAATCTGGAATGGAGAAAAAATCGGGTTCTTTCAGAGATTGCGGCTATTGACCATATGGAGGGTCAAGGGGATTTGGTGGAAGCTTTGAAGCTTAGGCGGGCAGAGTGCAAGGCCGAGTTTTCTGAGATTGCTATCATGGAGGAGATCTCGTGGAGGCAAAAATCTCGAGCCTTATGGCTCAAGGAGGGGGATAGAAACACAAAATTATTCCACAGATTGGCCAATGCTCATAGAAGAGGAAATCACATAGGGAGGATTCGGGTTGAGGGGGTTACTCTTTGTAAGGAGGAGGACATCTGCAAAGGAATTTCAGAGTTCTTTGAGAAGTTGTTCTTTGAGTCTGTTGAGTGGAAACCTTTGCTTGAAGGGTTGCAGTTTGCCTCTATTTCTGAGGAGGAGTGCTTGGGTTTGGAGGTGCCTTTTTCTGAGGAGGAAGTGCTGACTGCTTTGAAGAGCTGCAATGGGGATAAGGCCCCAGGTCTAGATGGTTTCACTATGAGGTTTCTTCTTGATTGCTGGGAGGTGGTTAAAGGAGAGGTGATGGGCACTTTCCATGCTTTCCATTCTCGGGGATTTTTTGAGAAAAGCTTGAATGCCACGTTCATTGCTCTCATTCCGAAAAAGGGGGGGGCATTGGATGGGAGGGATTTTCACCCTATTAGTTTGGTGGGTTGTATCTACAAGTTGATTGCCAAAGTGCTCGCTTCTAGATTGAGGAAAGTTTTGGATG